TTAGCAAAATAGGTATAAAATGTACCTGTTATTTTGACGCCTTCCTTCGTTTCGGCTGGCACACCAACACCAAACTCGTTTTCTCTCCAGACACTCTGAAGTAGTAAATCGCTCCTTCTTGTAAGTTGGTCACTTTGTAAGAGAGGCGGTTGCAGTTGTTAGTGACAGATACCCCATGCCTTCTTGCTGGCCTCTCGTTTTTCTATGTGGTAATTCTTCACGGGTGCTCCACCATCATTTTCAGGAACATCCCAGGACAGCACAGCAGTCTCCTTGGTTACTTCACGTACAGTAACATTGGCTGGAGGTCCTGGGGAATCTAAAACTTTGACAACGAAGGTCATCGAAGCAGCACTCAAAACATTCTGAATTGTTAGCGTGTACTTTCCAGAATCGTTGCGGGTGGCATTCTCAATGGTGAGTGATGTACGAGATTCTGTGGAGTCAATGTATGCTCTTGTGCGGAGGTCAGTGTCAGGCTTACTCCAGGAGACGTTGGGGATGGGTCTTCCTCTGAAAGGTACAGTCATGGTAAATGAGGATCCGGCCTTGACAACCAAAGTCTTCCTCATTTCACTGTCGACATCAAATACAGGTTCTTCTTCTCTTTCTTTGGCTACCTGGGGGTCGGAGCTGTCACTGGGGTCACTGGCACCGACCTTATTGACAGACCTCACTCTGAAGATGTACTCAGCTCCAGTGGTTAGCCCACTCAGTGTGTATTCTGTGCCTCTGAAGCTCTGGATGGCAGCCTTCCAGTCATCCTCGTCAGACCTTTTGTATTCTACCGTGTATCCCGTTATTGGCGCCCCACCATCAAACAGAGGCTTCACCCAACCAATGGTGATGGTTGTTTTGCCCGAGTCTACAATTTTGGGTTTGGATGGAGGAGATGGCAGGAACACGGGATCTTCCGCTCGAACTAAGGGAGACGTTTCACTTGGAAGACTCAGGCCGGCAGCGTTTTCGGCGAAAACCCGATACTCGTATTCACATCCTTCCCGGAGTCCTGTTGACTTCACTCTCAGATCGTAGACTGGTTTTTTATTCACACGCACCCACCGTAGGCTGTTTTTCTCACGTCTTTCAATTATGTATCCAGAGATGTCACTGCCTCCGTCAGTCTCAGGTCTTGACCAGCAAAGTGTCATGGAATCTTTGGTCACAGATGTAATTTCCAAAGATGTGGGTGGACTAGGAACGGTGAACGGATCTAGTGCCTTCACAGGCACGCTCTCTAGGGGCTCGCCGACACCATATTTATTAACACCCGTTACTCTAAAGATGTATTCATTGCCTTTGAGTAGCTTGGTCACCTTACAAGATGTCGTCCTCAACTCGGCTTCACATATTGTCCACGCGAGGCGGCTTGTTTCACGCTTTTCTACAATGTAATAGTCGATATCAGCACCACCGTCTTCTTGGGGACGTCCCCAGGAAAGGGAGCACTTCTCCGCTGTGAGGCCAGTTATTTCAAGAGGTCCTGCTGGTGGGCCAGGCTTATCCAGCACTTTACAGTTAACCGCCATAGTCCGAGTTCCTGCAACGTTCTTCAGTGTAAGCACGTACTGCCCAGTGTCTCGTCTCACACAGTCTTTAACTGTTAACGTGGTATGATAGTCTGTTGAGACAATTTCTGTTTTTGCCCTTTCTTCAATTTCTACCCCATCCTTGGCCCAGGAAATGACTGGCAGTGGTCGTCCTGCAATGTCTGCATTTATCTTAAGGACCTCTCCAGCTTTGACAACAATGACGTCTCGGAATTTGACATCCATCATAATTCTTGGTGCCTCGACGTCGTCTTTGACTGTAATAGGTCCAGTGGATTCGGATGGTTCGCTAACCGAGTCAGCGGCGTTTCTTGCAAAAACTCGGAATTCATAACGCTGGTCTTCAGTGAGCTCAGTTACTTCAAAGTACGTCTCCTGCACATTAGTGAAATTGCATTTGAGCCACCTGCCATCAGGCAATTCCCTGCGCTCGACAATGTATCCGGTGATCTTAGCTCCACCATCGTAACGTGGTTTCGCCCACTTAAGTGATACCGATTTTCTTGTGATATTGGTGACCTCAGGTTGCCCCGGAGGGTCACAGGGATCCCTTGCAGGGACTGGTTCACATGCTTTACTGCATTTACCAATGCCAGCAATATTCTCAGCGTATACCCGGTACTCATACATCAGCCCCTCATCAAGACCGGAGACTTTCATCTGCGTATCTGAAATGAGGACTTTGTTTGCCTTTGACCAGAGAATGCTGCTTCTTTCTTTGTATTCAAGGTGATAGCCAATGACTTGGCTTCCTCCGTCGTTAACTGGCACCTGCCAAGTTACGATCATGGTAGATTTCGTGGCATGCACAACTTTGGGAGTGCCAGGAGGCCCTGGGGGGCTGAATGGATACTCAGCAACCACCGCGGAGGATTCGCTGTAGGAACTCTTTCCATACCGATTCTCTGCACAAACACGGAACTGATACTCACTTCCTGTTGTCAAGCGGACTATTTTGATGGATGTTCTCGCCACCGCTTGTGAAACTACCTGCCATGTGGTAGACGTGGTTTCCCTCTTCTCAACAATGTAGTTGCTAATTTGGCAGCCACCATCATATTCTGGAGGATTCCAAGAAATGGACACATTGTCACAACTAACTTCATCAATGCGTATGGGTCCTGGAGGTCCTGGCTTGTCAAGGACAATGACAGTAATTGGAACCGTTATGGATCCAGCAGAATTGGAAACACACAGTTCGTAAGTTCCAACATCTTCTCTTGAGGCTTCTTTAATAGAAAGGGTTGTTACCGTCTTTGAGGACGATACATTGACTCTAGTGGTCTCTCTAAGAACCTGGCCATCTTTTTTCCAGGTTACAGTAGCTTGAGGTCTTCCTTTAAATGGTATGTCAATTTTGAGTTGGTCCTTAGCCTTAACGTTGAAAGTATTGAAAGGAAGCTCAACCGAAGGCTTTATTTCAATATCTTTCGCAATGACAGGCACTCCGAGCTGTCTCGGGTCGCTCCTTCCTTTCTCATTAACCGCGGCTACCCTGAAGACGTACTCTTCTCCCGCAGTCAGGCCAGAAATGGTTGCTTCTAGCGTCTTCACTTGCGTGCATGTGCTCCACTTCTCACTGCCCTTTGTCTGCATCTCGACGACATAGCCCGTGATTTTGCTGCCACCATCGCTTTCTGGTTTCTCCCACTTAATTGTAGCTGTGTTGCGGGTCACATCGACAAGGGTCACCCTTCCAGGGGGGAGTGGTGGTTCAGATACTTTTATAGGTTCTGCTATTTCGGCTGGTAATCCAATCCCATATTCATTGGAAGCCAGGACTCGGAAGTAATAAGAGCACCCTTCTTGTAGATTCTCAATTTTGAAAGTGTTCTTAGTGCAGTTGTTTGTAATAGTCGCATAAGCTTTTCTTGTAGTTTCTCGTTTCTCAACGATATAATTTGTAATCTTGGCTCCGCCGTCAATAAGCGGTGGCTCCCAGGACAGTGTCACCGAGTCTTTCTTTACTTCTCTCACAGTCAGATTCACGGGTGCACTTGGTGAGTCAAGAACTCTAACATTGACAAAGGCTGTTTTGGAGCCGCTGTTGTTTTCCAGGGTGAGGTTGTATCTCCCGCTGTCAAATCTGGTCACATTGTCAATCACCAGCATTGTATACGAACTAGTCACCTCGATCTGGGCCCTCTCCGTGAGAATACCATCAGCCTTTTCCCATCTGACTTCAGGTTCTGGCCGACCTTTGATAGTGACAAATAAGCGCAAGGTGGCGCTTGCCCGGAGAGTGACCACCTTCCTGAGATCAGCGTCGAGTTCGATTTCTGGGGGCTCTGCCCTCTCCTGAGCAACAACAGAGCCGGGGATGGTTGCGGGTTCGCCTACACCTTCAGTATTGAAAGCACAGATACGGAAATTGTACTCAGTATTCTCTTTAAGCTTGGTCACCGTGAACTGCTTCCCTTGTAGTCCTGATGGTGGCGTGCAGGTTGTCCATTCATCAGCGGCAGCTTCTTTGAGCTCGATAACATAGCCTCGAACAGGTGCACCGCCATCATAAATTGGCTTATTCCATGCTAAGGAGACAGAAGATCTAGAAGTATCTGTCACTTTGGGGTTACTTGGTGGACCCGGTGGATACAAGGCATCGCATGCCCGGTAGAAAACAGATGGCTCGCTGGGTTCCCCAATGCCGGCGGCATTCTCAGCGGCGACTCTGAATTCATAGGAATGACCTTCTGTGAGGCCAGTTACCCTGAACCGAAGGTCTGTCAATGTTTTCTTGTTACACTTGGTCCATCTTATTCCTTCCTTGTCTCGCTTTTCGAGAATGTACCCCTCAATCTCAGCACCTCCATCATCCACTGGGCGTGTCCACGTCAGCACCATGGAATCTTTGGTGATGGCTGAGGCCTCAGGTGTTGAAGGAGGGCCTGGACGCTTATAAGGATTACAGGCTATCACAGGCTCAGATTCCAGGGGCTCTCCGATTCCATACTTATTCACTGCCATGACCCGGAAAATGTACTCGTTCCCAGGAAGTAACTTGGTGACTTTGTAGTTAAGGGCCTGCACCTCAGTTGAAACCTGGGTCCAGGAGAGTCTGCTTGTTTCTCTCTTTTCGATGATGTAATGAGAAATACTAGCACCACCATCTTGCAAAGGTGGGCTCCATGCCAGGTAACACTTTTCGGCTGTAACTCCAGTGACTTTAAGGGGTCCTTCAGGAGGCCCTGGCCTGTCCAGCACCTTTACAGTGATAGGTATGGTCTTGGTGCCACCGACGTTGCTGAGTTTCAAGGTATACTGCCCTCCATCAGTACGGATGCAGTCTTTCACAATGAGAGTTGTTTTCTGGAGACTAGATTTAATTTCCATTCGAGCAGCTGTTTCTTCAAGTTCATTCCCATCCTTGGACCAAACGATATCAGGGATAGGTTTGCCACGGATATCAGCTTCGAGAACAAAGGTCTCCCCTGCATGCACAACGATGACATCTCTGTACTTTGGATCCAGTGAGGCATTTGGTGCATCGATTTCATCCCTTGCAGTGATAGCACCACTGCTCTCAGAGGGCTCGCTGAAGTTGCCAGCCGCGTTTCTTGCGATTACTCTAAATTCATATCTTTGGTCTTCTACGAGCCCAGTCACTGCGAATTCGGTCTCCACCACATTGGTGAAGCTGGCTTTCATCCATCGGCCATCAGGGAGGTCTTTCTTTTCTACGACATAGCCGGTTATCTTGCTGCCACCGTCATAAGCAGGTTTCTTCCATTTCAGGGTGACGCTATTTCTCGTGATAACGATGGCTTCGGGACGGCCGGGTGGGTCACATGGGTCACGCGCAACATAGCACTCTGACACTTTGCTAGGCTTGCCAATGCCCACGATGTTCTCCGCGGAGACTCTGAACTCATACTCAAGCCCCTCATCAAGCCCAGTTGTTTTGAACTTGGTATCCTGGATGGGGATCTTATTGAGCTTGACCCACAGAATGCTGTTCTTCTCCTTCTGCTCAAGATGGTAGCCAATAACTTTGCTGCCTCCGTCATTAACTGGCTCGTGCCATTGCACAAGCATCTGGTCTTTGGAGACAGATGTCACAAAGGGGGTTCCAGGTGGTCCAGGTTCTTTAAATGGATACTGTACCACAACTGGCTTCGAGTCCAAGGGAGTGCTTTTCCCATACCGGTTCTCAGCAAAAATCCTAAACTGGTATTCACTGCCTGTTTTCAGTTTGCCAATTTTAATGGTGGTTCTGGCAACCGTTGCCGAGACCATCTGCCAGGTGGTGGTGGTGGTCTCTCGCTTCTCGACGATGTAGTTGCTTATCTGGCACCCGCCAGTATAGGCTGGAGGTTCCCAAGATATGACCACAAAGTCTGCACTGACTTCGTCAAACTTCACTGGTCCAACTGGAGGGCCAGGCTTTTCCAAAACGATGATGCTGAGGTTTTCTGTGGCTGTGCCCGCACTGTTAGTCGCGGTGACGCTGTATTTTCCGAAGTCGTCCTTGCTACTTTCCTTGATGTGTAGAATGGTCGAAGTAGCTGTGTCTTCCACGTTTACTCTTGTGGTCTGTTTCAGAGGCTCACCATCCTTGACCCAAGAAATTTTCGGTCTTGGTCGGCCTATAACTGGAATTTCTATTTTCAGATCCTCTCCTGCTTGGACACTGTATGTATTAAATGGCAGCTTAAAACTGGGCTGTATAGTCAAGTCCTTGGCGATGACAGGGACGCCGAGCACCCTTGGATCACTCTTCCCTTTCTCGTTGTAAGCTTTGACGCGGAACTGATATTCTTGTCCCGAGCTCAGACCAGTAACGACCGCGTTACAGACTTTGGATTCAGCCACTACGCTCCATTTTTCCGTTCCTTTGGGCTGCATTTCAACCACGTACCCCAGGATTCTGCTACCGCCGTCATGTTCGGGCTTCTCCCACATGAGTGATGCACTGGTCTGGGACACGTCGGTGAGCGTCACCTTTCCTGGCGGGGAAGGAGGTTCAGAAGCCTTCACGGCATCAGAGGTTTCCGCGGGGACCCCAACTCCGAATTCGTTCTCAGCCATGACTCTGAAGTAGTAGATGGCTCCCTCGGTCAGATTCTCAACTTTAAAGCTGGTTTTACTGCATTTACTGCTCACATTGGCATAGGCCTTTCGGGTTGACTCGCGCTTGTCGATTACATAGTTCTTGACCTTTGCCCCACCGTCAATGAGAGGTGGTTCCCATACCAGAAGGACAGAGTCTTTTCTCACTTCTTTGACAGCTAAATTCTGCGGGGGTCCTGGGGTGTCAAGGACTTTCACGGTCACAAAAGCCGACTTGGACCCGCTGCTGTTCTCCAGCTTGAGAACGTACTTCCCAGCGTCGTTTCTATCGCAGTTGTCTATTGAGAGCTGGGTAAAGTTCATGCCCTTCTCAATCTGGACCTTATCTGTGAATTCCCCTTCCTCCTTAGACCACGTGATCTCAGGTGTGGGCCGGCCTTTGAATGGGATGTGGATTCTGGCAGATCCTCCGGCTCTCACAATGATGCCTTTTCTTAACTCAGAGTCGAGGTCCAGTTCAGGAGCTTCAAGTTTATCTTCCGGTTTCACAGTACCAGGAACGGAGGCGGCCTCGCCTAAACCAACTTTGTTGAGGGCACAGACTCGTATTTTATATTCTTGGTGTTCAGTGAGTTTGGAAATTTCGAATCGAGTGACTCTCAGGCCAGTCTGTGGAGTAACTATTTGCCATTCTTCTTCGTCTGCTTTGCAGACTTCGACGATGTAGCCCAGGATCTCACTGCCGCCATCATAGATAGGTTTGCTCCAGGCAAGAGTGATTGAGTTTTTGGTGGTGTCTACAACATGTGCATTGGTGGGCGGGCCAGGTTTGAACACGGGATCACAAGCCTTGTAGTAAACAGTAGCTGGGCTCGGCTCTCCAACTCCCGCAGCATTTTCTGCGGAGACTCTGAATTCATATTCATGATCTTCCGTTAATCCCGTTACCCTGAGCCGCAAATCTGTAATGCGGCGTTTGTTGCACTTTATCCAGCGAATGCCACTCCTGTCTCTCTTCTCCACGATGTAACCAATAATCTCACTTCCGCCATCACTGTCTGGCCGATTCCAGCAGACCGTCATAGAGTCTTTGGCAATGTTTGTGACTTCTAAGCTCTTTGGTGGTCCAGGAAGCACAAATGGATTTTTCATGAGTACTGGCGCAGACTCCAGAGGTTCGCCAATACCATACTTGTTGACAGCCATTATTCGGAAAATATATTCATTCCCTTCCAAGAGCTTAGTAACTTTCAGAGAGTTAGTCACAACTTCTGAAGCAACCACGGTCCATGCGAGTCGACTGGTTTCTCGCTTCTCAACAACATAGTGAGAAATGTCACTGCCGCCATCTTGAAGTGGTGGAGACCATGCCAAAGTGCATTTTTCACACGTGACTCCAGTAACCTGAACTGGCCCTTCCGGAGGGCCTGGTCTGTCAAGCACTTTCACATTCACTGGGAATGACTTAGAACCGGCAACATTAGAGGCCCTCAAAATATACTGTCCGCCGTCGATTCGAATGGCATCTTTTACAATAAGTAAAGCTTTGAAATCTGTGTTTTTTATTTCACATCTAGCTGATTCTTCAATCTCCTTATCTCCTCTTAGCCACTCGATGGTGGGTAGGGGCTTTCCATGGACGTCAGCCTCCAGTCGGAATGTTTCTCCGGCATTTACCACTATTGTGTCTCTGAATTTTGGATCCATTGAAATCCGTGGGAGTTCAACCTCATCCTTGGCTGTTATTGGCCCAGTGCTATCAGAGGGCTTACTTATTGCGCCAGCTGCATTCTTTGCAATGACTCTGAATTCGTATCTTTCATCTTCAGTGAGACCCGACACAGTGAATTGAGTTTCAATGACATTCGTAAAACTGGCTTTCATCCAGCGACCTTCAGGTAAATCACGTTTCTCTACGATGTAACCGGTGATCATACTTCCACCGTCATACACAGGCTTGGTCCACTGCAGTGTGATTTCATTTCTCTTAACTATGATTGCTTCTGGGGTTCCTGGCGGGTCGCAGGGGTCGCGGGCTACATAGCATTCAGAATTCTTGCTTGCCTTGCCGACACCGACAATATTCTCCGCGTAAACTCTAAATTCGTACTCAATGCCTTCTTCAAGGTTCAAGGCTTTAAACTGGGTGTCATGAATGATAGTTTTGTTGACTTTTGTCCACAAAATGCTATTCCTTTCCTTTCTCTCAAGGTGGTAACCTATGACTGGGCTTCCACCATTGTTGATTGGTTCATGCCATTGGAGGACCATAGCGTCTTTGGAGATGGCCGTGGCAAATGGTGTCCCCGGAGGGCCTGGTTCTTTGTAGGGATACTGAGCTACAATTGGTTCTGACTCTAAAGCAAAGCTTTGTCCATATCGGTTTTCAGCAAATATTCTGAATTGGTATTCTGTACCAGTTTTCAGTTTGGTTACTTTGAGTGTAGTTCTGGCAACAGTGGCAGAGACGACATCCCATACTGTGGTGGTTGTATCTCTTTTCTGAACAATGTAATTGGTTATTTGGCAACCCCCTGTGTATAAGGGAGGCTCCCAAGATAATGTAATACTCTCTGCACTGACTTCATCAAATTTAACAGGCCCTCTTGGAGGATCAGGCTTATCTAGAGCAATAATTTCAATGGTTGCTGTTTTCTGACCCACGACATTGGCAACTGTGATTCCGTACTGTCCGCCGTCGTCTTTATGAGTTTCTTTAATACTGAGGGTGGTAAGGTCAAGGGAGTCGGTAACATTGATTCTTGTGGTCTGCTTCAGCGGCACCCCGTCTTTGGTCCAGGAAATGGTTGGTTTAGGACGTCCGGAAATTGGTACTTCTACTTTCAAATCTTGCCCAACCTGGACACTGTAGCTGCTGAATGGTGGTCTCACATCTGGTTCGATGACTAGATCCTTGGCAACTATTGGAACTGCAAGGGACCGCGGGTCACTTCTTCCTTTTTCATTTACAGCAACAACTCGGAAGAGATATTCTGCTCCCTGAGTTAGGTTGGTAATAACCGCTTCAAGCGACTTCACCCTAGCACACTCTGACCACTTATCGGTGTTCTTCGCTTGCATTTCTACAATATACTGAATGATTTTACTGCCACCATCATGTTCAGGCTTTGTCCAACTCAAAGAGACGCTGTTTCTGGTGACATCATCCACAGTGATTTTCCCTGGAGGCTGTGGGACTTCTGCAACCTTGATTGGATCTGCAGTGCGGGCGGGAAGGCCAATACCATATTCGTTCTCCGCGGTGACTCTGAAGTAGTAACTGCAGCCTTCTTGGAGCTGTTCAATTTTCCAGGAGTTCTTATGGCAGTTCGTCACCACAGCAGCATAGGATTTTCTTGTGGCTTCACGTTTCTCAACAATGTAATTTTTAATTTTTGATCCACCATCCAACAGAGGCGGCTCCCACGTAATGGATACCGAGTCTTTGGTGATTTCTGTGACTTTCAGGTTGACGGGTGGGCTTGGCGTGTCCAGAACCCTCACGGTCACGAAGGCAGATTTCGTCCCACTGCTGTTCTCTAACGTGAGCGTGTACTTCCCGCTATCGTACCGATTGACGTTGTCAAGAACAAGAGACGTGAAACTGCTAGTGACGTCAATTATAGCGGCATCTCGGATGTCACCATCTACTTTCCCCCACTTGACTTCTGGGGTGGGACGACCTTTTATTGGGACAAACAGCCTTAAGGAGCCACCTGCCCTTATATTAATAACCTTCCTTAGTTCAAGGTCAAGGTCTACATCGGGCGCCTCAAGCTTTTCTTCGACCAGTACAGGTCCAGGGACGTCGGCATGCTCCCCCACTCCAGCTTTATTGATGGCACAGATGCGGAAGTTGTATTCATGCTTTTCCACCAGCTTCTCCACTTCCAGGTGAGTTTTGTTGACTCCAGTCGGTGGCGTGCACATGGTCCATTCGCCGACACTCACGTCACATTTTTCCACGATGTATCCCTGGATTTCACAGCCACCATCGTAGATAGGTTTGCTCCAAGAAAGGAACACTGAAGATCTGGTAACATCGGTGACTTTGGGGTTGTTTGGTGGGCCTGGCTTATAAACGGGGTCACAAGCCTTTTGGTAAGCAGAAGGCGGGCTTGGCTCACTGAGCCCAGCGGCATTTTCAGCTGAGACTCGGAATTCATAATTGTGGTTTTCTAGGAGCCCAGTTACTCTCAAGCGCAGCTCTCCGATCAGACGCTTGTGGCATCTGGTCCATCTTATGCCTTCTTTGTCCCGTTTCTCCAGAACATATCCTAGAATCTCACTGCCGCCATCAGATGCCGGCCTTTCCCACACAACAATCATTGAGTCTTTGGTCACAGTCGTAACCTCTGGAGCTTTGGGTGCATCTGGGACCACGAATGGATTCTTGGCAAGTAATGGCTCAGATTCGAGAGGCTCACCGACACCATATTTGTTCACGGCCATTATCCGGAAAATATATTCATTCCCTTCCAGAAGCTTCGTCACTTTGCAGCTGAGCGTTTGCACATTGGCGTCGACCAGAGTCCAGACGAGGCGGCTGGTTTCTCGCCTTTCCACGATGTAATTTGTGATATCGCTCCCACCATCCTGAAGGGGGGGCTTCCAAGCCAGTGTGCACTTTTCTGCTGTCACCCCTGAGATGGCAACAGGTCCCTCAGGTGGTCCTGGTCGATCAAGAACTTTGACGTTGACAGTAACTGATCTCTCTCCCGCCACGTTTTTGGCCTTCAGGACGTAATTGCCACTGTCAACACGTACTGCGTCTTTGACACCGAGACTGGTGGCAAAGTCAGTGCTCTTGATTTCCAGCCGAGCTGTGCTTGAAAGTTCCTGGTCACCTTTTACCCACTGAGTGGTTGGGATTGGCTTGCCATATATATCTGCCTCAATCTTGAATGACTCACCAGCATGAACCACAACTGTGTCTTTGTATTTGGGGTCCATGCTTATCCTTGGTGGCTCTACCTCATCTCTCGCTGTTATGGCCCCAGTACTTTCTGAGGGCTCACTGAACACTCCGGCAGCGTTTCGAGCTATAACCCGGAATTCATATCTGTGATCTTCAATCAGGCCAGTTACCTCAAACTGGGTGTCGATGATATTTGTAAAGCTGGCTTTCATCCAGCGGCCGTCTGGTAATTCTTTCTTCTCAACCACATACCCAGTGATCTTGCTTCCGCCATCATAGGTGGGTTTCTTCCACTGAAGAGTCACAGAATTCCTTGTGACAATGATCGCCTCTGGCCGTCCTGGTGGATCGCATGGGTCACGAGCTACGTAACATTCTGATGGTTTACTTGGCTTGCCGATGCCTACAATGTTCTCTGCAGACACTCTGAATTCATATTCGATACCTTCCTCAAGGCCAGTGGTCTTGAACTTGGTTTGAGGAATAGGTGTTTTGTTCAGCTTGACCCAGAGGATGCTGTTTCTTTCTTTGCGTTCTAGATGGTAGCCAATGACTCTGCTCCCACCGTCACTGACTGGCTCATGCCACTGTACTTCCATGCTGTCTTTGGAGGCAAGAGTGACAAATGGCGTGCCCGGTGGACCCGGCACTTTGAATGGGTACTGAGCAACAACAGGCTCAGAATTGAGATAGGTACTCTTCCCGTATCTGTTTTCAGCAGCGATTCGGAACTGGTATTCGCACCCTGTCTTGAGCCTGCAGGCCTTGATGGTTGTTCTTGCAACAGTAGCTGACACAATTTGCCAGGTAGTCGTGGAGGTGTCCCGCTTCTCCACGATGTAATTATTGATGGAGCTTCCTCCATCGTACTTGGGTGGCTCCCAGGAAAGGGTTACACTGTCTGCTGTCACTTCATCCATTTTCACCGGTCCCGTTGGAGGCCCTGGTTTGTCGAGAACGATGACATTAAGGGTTTCTGTGGCTTCACCTGCTGAGTTAGTCAGTTTGACTGTGTAATGGCCGACGTCTTCTCGGCAGGCTTCCTTTATCGTCAGCAGGGAATTGTTCTCTGTGCTCTCTGCGTTGATTCTGGTCGTTTGCTTCAGCGGCACATCGTCTTTTTGCCAGGTGACAGCCGGTGTTGGGCGGCCGACGAATGGGACATCGATTTTTAGGTCTTCACCTGCCAGCACAGTGAATGTATTGAAGAGGAGTTTGAAGGCTGGCGGAATCACAAGGTCTTTAGCAATCACCGGGACACTCAGCTGCCTGGGGTCACTGATGCCCTTTTCATTCTGCGCTGAAACACGGAAAGAGTATTCTTCGCCCTGAATCAACCCAGTGATGGTGGCTTCCGTGACTTTCACCGTGGCACACGTGGCCCATTTGTCGCTGCCTTTGCTCTGCATCTCGACGATGTAGCCAAGGATTCGGCTGCCTCCGTCATGCTCTGGCTTCTCCCAAGACAGAGACACACTGTTCCTTGTGACGTCCATCAGAGTTATCTTCCCTGGAGGGAGAGGTCGTTCCGATGCCTTCACAGACTCTGCCGTCTCAGCAGGCAGTCCGACGCCGTATTCATTCTCAGCAAGCACCCGGAAATAGTAACTGCAGCCTTCCTGGAGCTGGTCCACTTTCCAGGAAGTCTTATGGCAGTTTGTCGCAACCGTCGAATACGCCTTTCTTGTGGACTCTCGCTTTTCAACGATATAGTTCTTTATTTTTGAGCCTCCATCGAGGAGAGGGGGCTCCCACGTCAGCGTGACCGATGTCTTTGTGACCTCCTTTATCTTTAGGTTCTGTGGAGGGCCTGGTGTGTCTAGCACTCTAACGTTGACAAATGCAGTCTTGCTGCCGGAGCTGTTTTCTACAGTTAGTATGTACTTGCCGCTGTCGAACCTATTAACATTGCCAACGATCAGCAGGGTATAAGAGCTTGTGGATTCAATGCTAGCTTTATCCAATGATTCTCCATGCTCTCTAGCCCACTTGACCTCGGGTGCTGGTCTCCCCTTGATGGGAACAAAGAGTCTCAGGGTACAACAGGCTCTGATAGTCACAACTTTGCGTAACTCAGCGTCCAGTTCGATCTCCGGAGGCAGCATTCTTTCTTCTGCCTTTGGAGTCCCGGGAACAAGGGCAGGTTCTCCAACTCCTTCGGAATTCATGGCATAGATGCGGATTTTATATTCCTGATTCTCTATGAGGTTGGTGATGGTATAGGAAGTTGCTTTGAGCCCAGCTGGGGGAGTGACAACCTGCCACTCATCTTCTTCCGGCAGGGCAATCTCAACCATATACCCAGTGATTTCAGAACCTCCATCGTAGATAGGTTTATTCCATGCAATCGAAATGGAGGACCTGCTTGTGTCAAGGACACGTGGGTTACCTGGTGGGCCAGGTTTAAACACGGTGTCGCAGGCTTTATAAAATGGGCTGGTGGCACTTGGTGCACTAATTCCAGCTGCGTTTTCTGCCATTATTCTGAACTCATATTCATGTCCTTCTGTCAGCCCAGACACTTTATATCTTAGGTCTGTAAGAGTCTTTTTGTTGCATTTTACCCAGCGCTGGCCAGCTTTATCACGCCGTTCCACAATGTAATTGATGATTTCACTCCCACCGTCAGAGTCGGGATGTCCCCAGCAGACAACCATGGAGTCTTTGGTGATGGTGGTGACTTCAGGGTTCTTGGGTGGATCAGGTGGCCCATAAGGATCCACTGCAAGCACAGGCTCTGACTCTAGGGGTTCCCCAACCCCATACTTATTTACAGCCATGACACGGAATATGTACTCATTGCCTTTCAGAAGCTTAGTGACCTTCAGCTTGGTTACTTGGACTTCTGTGGCAACGTTGGTCCAGGCCAACCTGCTGGTTTCACGCTTCTGCACTATGTAATGATCGATTTTGGCACCTCCGTCATCCAGGGGAGGCAACCATGACAACACACACTTTTCTGATGTCACCTCCGACACAGCTAAGGGTCCTTCAGGTGGTCCTGGTCTATCGAGAACCCTGACATTGAAAATGTGCTTGGCAAAGCCACCAGGGTTGGTCGCTGTCAGGATGTAAGCCCCACTGTCTGTCCTGGATGAATCCTTGTTGATGAGGTGTGTGGAGAAGTCCGCAATTTTTATTTCCAGTTTTGCAGTGCCCTCGAGCTCCTTGCCGTCCTTAGCCCACTCCATGGTTGGAGGTGGGCGGCCTGAAACATCAGCTTCGAGCTTGAAGGCTTCACCAGCCTTTAAGGTGATGGTGTCCTTAAATTTAACATCCACCATGATTCTTGGTGCCTCAAGGTCATCCCTGCATGTGATGGCGTCTGACGGCTCCGATGGCGGACTGATGGCCCCTGCGGCGTTTTTGGCAATCACCCGGAACTCATATGCGGCATCTTCGGTTAGTCCACTGACGGTAAACTCATTCTCTAAGATGTTGCTGAAGTTGGCCTTGAGCCACCGTCCGTTAGGCAGGTCCCTCTTTTCAACCACATAACTAGTAATTTTAAAGCCTCCTGTGTATTCGGGCTTAGCCCACTTAAGGGTCACTGTGTGTCTCGTGATGTTTAGAGGCACTGGTTTCCCGGGCGGGTCGATGGGATCCAAAGCAAACATTGGTTCCGATGGCTTGCTGGGTTTGCTCTTGCCCGCCATGTTTTCTGCAATTACGCGGAACTCATACGCAATGCCATCTGTAAGTCCAGTTGATTTGAAGATGTTGCCTGGCACCAATGCTTTGCTCACAGTCTGCCAGAGAATGCCATTGCGTTCTTTCCTTTCGACGTGATAGCCTAGAATGGGGCTGCCACCATCAGAAAGCGGTTCGTGCCAGCTAATTGTCATCGAGTCTTTGGTGACCGCAGTAACCTGAGGGGTGCCGGGAGGCCCGGGCACCTTAAATGGATAGTTAGCAACTATGGACGCAGATGTGATTCCCGGTCCGACTCCGTATCTGTTTTGCGCTTTGACGCGGAATTGGTACTCCACTCCTGTAGTCAGGCGAGTGGCTTTGTAGGTGGTACGGATGACAGTCGTTGCTAACTCCACCCATGTGGTACTGTCTGACTGTCGCATTTCTACGACATAGTTGCTTATTGGGACACCGCCATCATTTTCCGGTGGCTCCCAAGAGAAGGTTACAAAGTCAGAAGAAACTTCGTCAAATTTAATTGGTCCTTTAGGTGGTCCCGGGATATCATGGACTTGAATGGTTATGACATCACCAACTTCTCCTACAGTGTTCTTGGCTGTTAATGGATAGGGTCCGCTATCACTTCTGACACACTCATTGATATTTAAGATGGTTGAGGTCGCTGTGTTTTCAACATTAACTCTCTGTGTCTGTTTAAGGATTTGGTCTCCCTTTTTCCATGTAACTGTGGGCTTGGGTCGACCAAGTACTGGAATTTCAACTTTGATGTTGTCCCCAGCTCTGGCAATGACAAGCTTCTGGTAGATACCACGGAGATCCAACTCTGGAAGCATCGTCTGCTCCTTGACGATGACGGGTCTGCTTTCTCGGGGAGCACTTCTGCCCGCACTGTTTACCGCCATCACTTGGAAGGTATATTCCTCTCCTTCAGTCAGATTCCTCACCACGCATTCCAACCCCTTCACAGTTGAGATGTGGGTCCACTGGTCAGACCCTTTCCTCTGGGCTTCAATCACGTAGCCAGTGATCTTGCTGCCACCATCATGCCTGGGTTTGGGCCATGCCAGGCTGACTGTGTTCTTGGTTATGTCCATAATGTTAAGGCTGTCTGGGGGCAACGGTGCTTCGGAGGCTCTTACAGGCTCTGTAGTTTCCGAGGGCTCCCCGATTCCAAATTCATTTTCTGCCATCACTCTGAAGAAGTATTCGCAGCCTTCTGTCAAGCCAGTTACTTTATACGTACACTTGTGGCATTTCGTGGTAACGGTGGAGTATGATTTCCTCGTTGCTTCGCGTTTCTCCACAATGTAGTTTGTTATACGCGAGCCCCCGTCTATCAGAGGGAGGTCCCAGTGTAGGGTGACGCTGTCCTTTGTGATGTCTGTCGGCCTTAGGTTAAGGACAGGACCTGGGGTGTCTAGGACTCTGACGTTGACAAAGCCACTCTTCTTCCCGGCTGGGTTTTCGATGGTCATCACGAACTTGCCAGTGTCGTATCTGTTACATTCTGGGATAATGAGAAGAGTGAATGACTCCGTGTTTTCGATGTTGGCTCGGTGCTTCAGGTTGATATTATCTTTGGTCCATGTCACTTCAGGGGCAGGACGACCTTTAATTGGCACAAAAATCCTAATGCTGAGTCCTGCCCTAACCACCAGTGTTCTGCGCAGCTCAGCATCTAGCTCAAAATCAGGAGCCATTTCCTTCTCTACGATTTCAACATCTGAAATCACCGCTGGCTCCCCGACGCCTGCATCATTGACAGCACTAATTCTAAAGTTGTACTTTTCTTTAGTCTGAAGGTCAGGAACAACAAACTGAGTGATTCTGAGGGCTGTTCCTGTTGTGTCTTTAATCCAGGCCTCATCTCCTACTTTCTGATGCTCCACTATGTAACCAGTGATTTCAAGCCCGCCATCATAATGAGGCTTGCCCCATGCTAAAGATGCTGATTTCTTGGTGGTATCGGTGACATGCGCGTTTGAAGGTGGTCCCGGAGGATCTGGGCAAAAGAAAGAAGGGTACATTCAAATATTAAGAGTTTTGCTTCTGGGTACCTCCTATAGAATATCAGCAGGCGCAAATGAACGGTGTTGGAAGAGATGAGAAATACTCACAGGCCACATCTTTCATCAGAACAGGGTTTGAGGCATCGCTCGGTGGACCAATGCCCGCTCTGTTCTCCGCACTGACACGAAACTCATAGGTGTTTCCTTCTTGGAGCCCAGTCACTTTGCACCTGAGGTCAGAAACTGGAGTCTTTGTGGCTCTCACCCATCTCAAGCCTTTCTTCTCCCTCCTTTCAACATGATAACCCGTGATCTCACTGCCACCGTCATCAGTCGGTCTCTTCCAGCTTACAGTGGCAGTGTTCTTCGTGACATTTGATATCTCTGGTTTTCCAGGAGGGCCCGGGGGACCTACAAAAAAGAGGCAGATTGGTGGTAAGTTCCCAATTTACTGAACTTGAACGTTTTCACGGTGGTCACTACCGCAGCTACCGCGTGCACTACATACCAAATCTGTCTACCATCTTGACGGGTTCAGACTGAACAGGTTCTCCTTTGCCGTACTGGTTTACCGCCGACACGCGGAAAAGGTATTCGTTTCCTTGGATGAGTTTGGTTACCACATGCCTGCAGGCCTGAATATCTTCAGAAACCACTGTCCACAAAAGCCGGCTGGTTTCTCTCTTTTCAAGAACGTAAGCCTTAATTGGTGATCCGCCATCTTCCAAGGGAGGTGTCCATGTGAGTGTTGCTTTCTCAGCAGAAATGTTACTGATTTCAATGGGACCTGGGGGACCAGGTACATCAAGGACCGATACCCTCACGTGTTCCTCCTTTGTGCCAAAAGGGTTTGTGGCAGTGATGGTGTATTCACCAGCATCCTTTCTTGTGGCGTACTTGACTGTCAGCATGGATGATGTTGGGGTTGAAGTTATTTGGGCAATATCCGATGGTCTGATATCTTTTCCCGCCTTGGACCAGCTTGACTTTGGAAGGGGTTTTCCAAGAATGCTAATGGCACTTAAAACAATGGTGTCCCCTGCTTTAACTGTCAGCCCATCTTTGATTGTGGGATCAAGGACAATGGTGGGTGCCTCTGCAGAGGGGAGAAAGAATAAACTCATCAGCAAATGGAGGAGGTTTCATTTCTGCCTTTTAACTGGAACAGATGCCAGTGTCACCTACCGTACTCATCCTTGCAAATGACAGTTCCTGTGCTCTCTGATGGAGCGCTGATAGCACCTGCTGTGTTCTTTGCTCGGATTCTGAACTCGTATTTTCCACCTTCGACAAGGTCAGTTACAGTGAAGGCACAGTCTGGAACATTAATGTGGTTGGCCTTCATCCAAGACTTGGACGGCAGATCCCTCTTCTCTACTATGTACCCTGTTAATTTATGGCCACCGTCATATTTGGGTTCTGTCCAGATGAGAGTCACTGAATTCCTTGTTACACTAATAACCTCAGGTTTTCCAGGAGGATCTAAAACAGAGAAGGAAACCCATCAAACAAACCGCCAATGCTTGCCTCCTGGAGCACAGCCCCCCCTAGGCTTCTCTTTCTTAATGGCTTACCAATTGGATCAAGGGCTACAACTGGCTCTGAGGGCAGGCTTGGCTTGCCCACTCCTGCTAGATTGATAGCCATAACTCGGAATTCATATTCAAGACCTTCAGTTAATCCGGTCACTTTGAAATCTTTCATCCTTATAGGAGTCTTGTTAGCTCTCTTCCATAGAAGGCTGTTTCTTTCCTTGAATTCGATATGATACCCTACAAATGATCATGAATATATCAATTCAGATAGGTATTATACAGATTGTTTTAAAACACACACACACACTTTACCCAAGTTATTCCTTTGCATATATATTGAAAAGATGACCTTTCTTTGTTATCTATACTTTTATCATCTAGGTATGGTGCCAGTTTTTCTTCTTGCACTATACATAGTTATTACCTTTCTTTTGAAAAACACTAGATAGTTACTTTGGTTATGAACTGTTGCATTGGGGGAGGTTTCAATTAAATTAAACGTTAATTGTATATATGGAAAATGCATTACTAGATATGAAGATAATTATATGAACAAGGTATTTCTGACGAACGTTGATAAAAAGCTAAAGGAAAACTGTAAATTAAGTACCTGTAATTGGTGAGCCACCAGTCTTTTTAGGATCGGTCCATGTTAGAGACACTGAATCATGTCTGACATCCACAATATTGGGAGGTGGTGGAGCATCAGGCACATCTATATATAGGAAGAGAAAGGTAGACAAGACAACGTCAGATTAATTAAAAAGAACTCCACAAAGCCATATTTCACTTTATTCTTTAACACACTTACCAAATGGGTGCTTGGCAACGATTGGCTCGGACTTGAGGCCTTCTCCCACACCGTATTTATTTTCAGCACTGACCCTGAAGGTGTACTCCACACCCTCATGCAGTCTAGTGACTCGGAAGGTGGTTTTCTGGACAGCGGAAGCACATGTCACCCACTTGTTGTTCACAGAATCTCTCTTCTCTAGGACATAGTTGGTGATTTCAGAACCTCCGTCGTCCTTCGGAGGACCCCATTTCAGGGTCATGGCTTCTGCTGTGACTTCATCAAATTTGATTGGTCCAGTGGGGATGCCAGGCTTGCCAACAACCTTTATGGAGAGAGTCCCTTCCTTGGTGCCAGCAGTGTTCTTCAGCGTGATTGTGTATTTCCCAGCGTCGGATTTTTGGCAGTCATATACTACAAGAGTCGTATTGACTGCCGTGGACTCGACACTGACTCTGGTGTCAGTTGGTAGAGGATCCTCCCCCTTCTTCCAAGACACGGACGGTGCTGGCTTGCCCTTTATGGGGATCTTCAGGCGGAAGTTGCTGTTTTCTTTAGCCAAGTAGCACAAATCAGGTAGATCCTTTAAGTCAAGATCAGGAGCCACTGTTAAAAAAAAAAAAAGGCGGAGACGGATTATTTGTATTGGAATTATTAGGACTAGACAATCACCTCAGATCAGTTTTAAAAGGTATGCATTTGGTGAGCCAGGCTGTTAGGGCTCCAGCTTATATTTCTGATGACAGGAGAGAGGAGGCGAGGCTGCACAGGGAGACGCTTACCAACGTCATCCTTTGCCACGACGACGATTTCGCTTGGGGTTCCTTCTCCGTTTTCATTTTCAGCGCTCACTCTGAAGGTGTATTCCTTCCCTTCCTTCAGGTCTTTGGCGGAGTACTGTAGGCTCAATGACTTCATAACTCGTTGCCACTTATTTTCTTCTGTCAGGAAATCGACCACGTAGCCAGTAATTCTACTCCCACCATCGCTGCGAGGCTTCTTCCAGCCAATGGTACAGGATGACTTGGTCACGGCCAGCACTTTGAGGTCAACAACAGGTCCCGGGGTTTCTAAAAGAGGAGACACGATGAGTCCAAGGCCCAGATAACCAAGGTGGGCCGGAGTTCAACAGGGTGGGTCACAGTTCTTTGCTCACCTGACGCCTTGACGGCATCCCGTGTCTCACCCGGATCCCCAATGCCGTACTCATTTTCAGCGAACACTCTGAAGTAGTAGGATTTCCCCTCCTCCAAGTTAGAGACTCTGAAGCTTGTCTTTGAGCACTCAGTGGTCACTGTCGACCAGGATTTCCTCTCTGCATCCCGCTTCTCAACTACGTAGTTGATGATGGGGCTCCCACCATCGATAATGGGGGGATCCCAGGTAATGTATGCAGAGTCCTTGGATATTTCCTTAACCGTCACATTGACAGGTGGCCCAGGAGTATCTGAATAGCAAGCAGAGGTTAAGCAAGCAATGAACACATTAAGAAAGCACACAAGCGCTGGTTTCAAACACACGTGCCTCTTTCCTTAGCCCACTTACCGAGCACCTTGACTACAATGGTGTACTCCTTCTTCCCACAGCTGTTCTCCAAGGTCAAGATGTATTTCCCCGCGTCGTACTTGTTCACGTTTTCACAGCGCAGGAAAGTGTCAAAGTCGGTGGACTTTATGTCCAGTCCAATCCGTTCTCTTAGATTGACATTTGGTTTCGACCAAGTGATCTTTGGTGGTGGACGTCCTTTGACGGGCACGTAGAGTCTCATGGTAACTCCAGCACGTAAAATGAGTGTTTTTCTTAACTCGGCATCGAGTTCTCCCTCGGGTGGAACTATTGAACGTGGGGGTGAAGAAAGTCAAAGCCGTAAAATTTCAGCCTCATACGTATTTCTAAAGACTGCCCTATCATTCCTAAAATATGTAAAACCAACTTCTCGATTTTTTTTAAAACATCCTGAACAATTGGATATTCTGTTGATGTTTTCATTTTTCTTGAAAGTATTTTATTTTTATTTTTGAATACGTGTTTATGTTTACATCTGCAGTAATCCATGAGTGCAGAATCCAAGGAAGCCAGAAATAGGCACTGGATTCCGGGGGGGTGAAGTTACAGGCAGTTTTAAGTCACTTGATGTGGGTGCTGGGATCCAAACTCAGATCCTCTAGAAGAACAGTATGCCCTTGTGATCACTGACCTCTCTCTTTGGTCCCCATGATCTTCCTATTTTTCCATGCACTTTTGCCCCAACCAAGTATTCCTTGAAGGGCCTGTCTTCCTCTTCACGTGGACCCTGCATATTTAAGCCTCTGTCTATGCTTGAGAGAATGCTTCCTCCCACCTTGGGTTTTCTGTCTTATATTCAGTGCATATTCCATTCCTGCAAGTGCTCTGGCTTTGTTTGCTATGTCATCATAGGAAGAAAAGTATATAATAGATTAAATGTGCTGCTGAGAGACCTTTTTAAGGTGGGAAGGAGTTCTGGAGATGAAATGAATAGAAGAAAGGGACTATAGGAGTCTTCCAGTTACATACTTAAGAGATGTGTGTGGATGAGTGGATAACAGGCAGGAGGATAATAGATGGGCCATGACTTAAAAAAGAAAAACAACAAAACCGCTTTATTCTTAGAATAAAATTTTTTCTTCTTTTGAAAGCCACCGATTCAGTTTGGCCTGCTAAACATCATGAAGTGCCACCTACCCCTCCTGATCTGGGCTCCTGGAACTTGTAGCTGTGTCTGCACCAGAGCTGATTCTGTCTCTTAAACTATGATGGGCAGAAAGTCTCACCTGTGTCTGCTGGCAGTACTTACTTAGGATGTCCTTGGGGCAGTGCTTGTCTGGTACATCACTCGGGTCACTGTAGCCGATCTTATTCACAGCGTACACGCGGAACTGATACTCAGTGTTTTCCATCAGGCCGGTCACCTCGAAGCGGGTTTTCTGCAGCTTCTCTGGTAAATTGCACCTTACCCAGTGATCAGAATCGGCTCGCTTGGCTTCCACAAGATAACCAATGATGGGGCTGCCTCCATCAAAGGCTGGCTTGCCCCATGATAGGCTCACAGAGCTACGGGTGGTATCGTATACTTTAGGGAAAGCTGGTGGGCCAGGAGGATCTGAGGACAAATGACAACAGAAAGGTATAGTGACAACTTCCATTCTGGCTGTTTAACGCTTACTACAGAGCACGGGACTCTCTCAAGCACACTTACACAGTGGGTCCTGAGCATACACGGCTTTGGATGCATCACTGGGTTTGCCGGGTCCAGCTTTATTTATAGCAGTGACTCGGAATTCATACTCAGTGCCTTCCTGGAGACCTGTTGCTTTTAACGTTCTTTCTATGACAGGTTTTCTGTTGACTTTAGTCCAGTTAACTGCCTGAGTTTCCCGCTTTTCAACCAAGTATCCAGTGATAGGTGAGCCACCGTCATCGGCAGGGGCTTTCCAGCTGACTGTCATGTGATCCTTAGTGACATTGCTAATGACAGGAGGGTCACAGCGTCCAGGTGGGTCTGTAAAAACGGAAGGATACGTTAGTCTCTTAAGCAAAAAGAGTATTTAAGAAAGTAGAGGGCGACCCGCTGGAGAGTGTTCCTACCGTATGGGTTTTTAGCAATCGCTGGCTCAGTGAGGATGGGGTCACCCACTCCGTATTTGTTTTCAGCACAGATACGGAACTGGTATTCATGGCCCTCTATAAGTTTCTCCACGGTGCAGCTGGTGATGGGCACAGTGGCAGAGACCTGAGCCCAGTTAGGCCTGCTCGTTTCCCGCTTGTCAACGATGTAGTTGGTGATTTCTGAGCCTCCGTCCTCGAGAGGAGGTTCCCAAGACAGCATGGCACGATCCGCATACATCTTGTTGATTTTGACAGATGCTGGAGGACCTGGTTTATCTGAAAGAATGGAGAATAAAAATGAACTATTTTTCCAAAAAGGGGAATGAATATGGGCAAGAGATCTAGACGGTGGACTACGTTCTTTATATTATCAGCAACTTCCTATATGACCTAGAAGTCACCTCCCTCCCAATCCTCGGTAGCTAGAATAGTGATCGACCACTCATCCTCTATAAAGACACTCTTCTGCAATGCTATTGATTTTATTCTTAGGACATACTGAGCATCTATAGACTAGGCTGGTTTAGCACTCCCTGAGTAGAGGAGCATGACCTTGAACTCCTGACCCTCCTGCCTCCTCCCAGGTGCTGGGATTTTAGGAGTTCATTAGCATATCCAGCTTGTAAACTTATTGACAGGCTAAGTGAAGCATGGGATTGTAATCACATTCTTTAATTACCTAGTACTTTGAGCTTAATGGTGGCTGATTTGGAACCACTGGCATTTTCGGCAGTAATGGTGTAGTCTCCCGAGTCCTTCCGGTTCACGCTGAACAGCTCCAAGGTGCACAAGTTCCGCTTCATTGCCATCTTTATACCTTCCACTGGTTTTATTGGCGTGCCATCTTTTTTCCAGGAAACTGTTGGCATTGGTTTACCAAACACAGTAGCATCCAAGCAGACGTTAGTTCCAGCTTTCACAGTAAGCAGAGACTTCATTTCAACACTGAGTTCTATCCTGGGAGGAACTGGAAGGAAAGAAGATTGACGGTCTTCATTATGCAAAACTGCATTATGTAATTATTACTGACAACAGCGATAAATCCATCATGAATGAGATTTTCATCTCATTACTAACTATTAACTTTTAATACTTGGGACTGAACCCACTGAGCTACAGCCCTAGTGCTACAACCATTTTTATTTAATAATTCTTATATATATTTATGAGTACAGTATTTTTGCAAAAGTCTGCGTTGTGGAATGATTCAATCAAGCAAACTCATACCAGAGTCCACTCACCTATTCAGTCAGCATTTTTATTGTCTACTCTTTTAGTAATCTTGAGATCTATAACACGTTATTAACTCTGGCACCATGCAGAGTTGCCAGTACTGGTTCTTCCCATCAGACTGAAACTTTAACATTCTCTCCCTCTCATTCTCCCTTTCCTTAGCCCCCGACTTTTAAGATCCATACTTACTACAAAAGTAAAATACGTTTAACAAAGAAATTTGACGATACTGCAAATAGATAGAAGTAAATTCCCGTAATCCCAACACCAGGCTCCCACTCCCAGTTTAATATTTCTTTGTCATCATTCTGTGACTGTGATTAACATCACACACTCCTGAGTTGTGTAACCTGTTTTTTTTTTTGCTTTTTAAGATTCTTCATAAGCATAATTTTTAGTGCGTAATACAAAGTTAACTCCTTGTCATTTATTCTCCCCTTTTCCATTGTATGAATTTAGTATGTTTGTTTGTTTTTAAGTAATTATTATTTCATAAGGAAACATTACTATCATGGATACTGTAAGTGTTTTAATACGCAATAGACTCTTACCATTTTCTGCAAGAATAGTCACTGGGTCGGAAGGCTCAGAAGGCTGGCTAATGTTCACAGCAGTCTTGGCAATCGCTCTAAATTGATATTGAGCATTCTCTTCTAACCCCGTAGCTGTGTACTCTTCCTGGGGAATCTGGTGAGGTGTGGTATTACACCGAACCCACTTATCACCAGGAAGCTTGCAAGCTTCTACAAAATAGCCAATAATTTTGCTGCCTCCGTCGTGCTTTGGACGGGCCCAGATAAGGGAGGCAGAGTTCTTGGTGACGTCAACAACTTCAGGTTTCCCTGGGGGATCTAAAGCAAAAAGAAATATTCTCAACGTTGGTCTCACTAGCAGAAGTGTAAGCCCCTCGCAGCGCCACTCCCGTGTGGTTCAACAGGATAACAATCATGCCAAGTCAGCCATCCATCCAGTATCTACTTTTCAGGGCTTGCTATACATTTACATTTACAGGAGTGCATTTCCCGTGAGAGGTAGAGCCTACTCTAGGATGGAAGTACTAACTTTCAGAAGCAAAGATTTAAATGTGTCTCTCCAGTTCCAAGCAATGGTTACCCACCTACTGGCATCCTTGCGGTTACATATTCCGTTGGTTTGCTAGGTGGGCTGGATCCAGCTTTGTTTAGGGCATAAATTCTGAATGAATATTCTAGACCTTCTACAAGGCCAGCACAAGGATATTCAGTTGACCGGACGACAGTGTCGTTAGCCTTCACCCAGAGTAAACTGTTTCTTTCTTTGCGTTCAATCAGGTAACCAGTGATGGGGCTTCCTCCATCACTGTCTGGTCTGTCCCATGCAACAAATATGCAGTCTTTGTTGACTTTAGTGACTCGAGCATTTTTTGGCTCACTAGGAACATCTGGAGATGAAGACAGGGAAATGTCAGCTTCTGCTTTAAACTAAAAGCCTACAAAGAACAACACACACACACCACCAACACCAGCACTCACCGAACGGGAATTTAGCGAGCATCTTTGGAGATGTGAGAGGCTCTGAAATGCCGAATCTGTTTTCAGCACGGACCCGGAAGATATACTCCTGTCCGGGGATCAGCTTGCCAACCCTGCAGGACGTCTTGGTGACCGAAGCTAGAGCTGTGACCCAATCTCCACGGCTTACATCACACTTCTCTACTATGTAATTGGTGATGCTACTGCCTCCATCCTCAAGAGGGATGTGCCAAGACAGGGAGCAAGCGTCAGCATCGATATCAGAAATGTCAAATGGAGGCTGGGGCGGACCAGGAGCGTCTGCATAAACCAAGAGGAAAGAAACACAGAGTGAGAAAACAAATAGTTAAAAAAAGTAAAGGAACCTTTCTGATCTCCATAATTTAATGGGCACTTGTCTCACGGGTCACCTACCCATGACTGTAACTTTGATTTTCTGAGTGTCTGTCCCCGAGCTATTTTCTGCGGTGAGGCTGTAGTAACCACTGTCTTTCCTGGTGACATCCTTTATGATCAGGACCGAAGAATTGTCCGCTTTATGGATGGCCAGGTGGCTGGATGTGACAACTTCGTCCTCTCCTTTCTTCCATTTACAGATGGGGTTGGGCTTCCCATACACATGGGCTTCGACTCGGAGTTTCTTCCCAGCTTTGATGGTGATCTGCTCGGGCATGAGGATCTTCGGTGGCACTGAAAGCAAAGACAAAACCCATTTCTTGAGCGGGGGGGGGGGGAGGAGGGAGTTTTCTGGATTTCTCGAATTGTGGGTTGTAGGCCACTAGGTATTTCAAATTAATGATTGAATTTATAAGCAATTTTTTAGTAATTGAAAAATTTTCAAAATATAATGATTTATGTCCCAGCTGCTATTTCCCCTCCTTCCTGTCCTCCCAGTCCCTCCCCCAAATCCCTCCTCAGTTCCCACCCCCCAGTCCACTCCTCCTCTCTTTCTGTTTAGGGAAAGGCAAGTCTCCTATGAGGATCAACAGAACATCATATCAAGTTGCAGCAAGACTAAGCACCTCCCCATATGTTAAGGCTGGGTAAGATGACCAAGTATGAGGAGTAAGATCTCAGCCACCTACAAAAAGAGTAGGAGACAGCCCCTCTCCCCACTGTTAGGAGTCCCACAAGAGGGCCAAGCTACCAATATTTTTAAAACTTCTTAGATACAATAGAAAATATCAGATATAGCCTACATAAGGATAGGCTATATCCTGTGTTGTACAAACTCAAGGAGAAATGTCTACAGAAGCCAGTTTTTTATCATAGGGCATAAAGGAAGCAGTGACTACTCAAAAAGGTAAATACAATTGCTTAGTTTAGGAACAACAGAGAAAAGCCAGATAAGAAGAACAGAAACAGCCATACACAGAACATGAAGGCAAACGACTCACATAGCTGCTCTTTGGCTTCGTAGACGCCCTCGGCTTCTCTTGGCAGGCTGACGCCGACAGCATTCCTCGCTGCAACTCGGAACTTGTATTTCTTTCCTTCCTTTAGGCCGGTGACAATGAGGCTGAGGTCTTTGACCACCGAGTACTCTGTCCAGCGATCTGCAGGCTGGTCTTCCTCTCTGTAACTAATGATGTAGCCATCAATTTTAGCACCCCCATCACGCAGGGGAGGTAACCAGGCCAGCGTAGCACTGTTCTTTGTCATTTCTGTTACTTCAAGTTTTCTTGGAGGATCCGGCTCACCTAGGGAAAGAACATAATTTAGAAAATTAGGTAACTTTATAAACCCCATTGTTCATGTATGTAAGGGTTTCAGTATGACTTTTGTACCAAAGTTTATGGGATACGTGGTTCAACATCTTGATAATAAAGTGTTATGTAAAGCAAGGGATACACGTTTTATCCAAGAGAGATGTTTACTGCACTATTAGGGTCTCACAAATCAAGTTCCTTCTGGCAGATTATAATCCTAATGATCTATTGACTGTGATCAGCAGATTATAATCATATTGACCTCTTGGCCTTGAGAAACTAGAGGGCTGGAGTCAAAAGGGGAAAGAAATGGGATTGCTTACTGAGAGGATCTGATGCAAGCACAGGTTTGGGGACATCTGTTGGGACCCCGGGGCCGTATTCATTGACAGCAGTTACTCGGAAGTAATATTCATTCCCGGGAACAAGGTTGGTGACATTGAAGCTTGTCTTCTTCACTTCGGGTGTAACTGTTGACCATGTTTTTCTTTCTGCCTCACGCTTCTCCACAATGTAATGTGTCACTTGGCTCCCGCCGTCATTTTCAGGAGGGCCCCAGGACACGTGGCAGGATGTTTTCGTGACATCCGAAACTTTTAAATCAGACACAGGTCCAGGAGTATCTGCAAAGGAGCAGTCACAAGTCTCATCAGCATTCCAATTAACTCATTTGTTTTTGGAGCAGGGGAAAAAAAAAGAAAGCTTTTGGCTAACACACCTAGTACTTTGACGTTCACAAAAACGGCTTTTTCTCCTGCTGGGTTCACCAGGGTCAAGGAGTATTTTCCTGAGTCATCACGGGTAGAGTTGGGGATGACAAGGAAGGCCATGGTGTCAACGAGATCGACTTGTCCTTTTCGGACCACATTATCAATCCCCACTTTGCGCCACGTGACTTTGGGGGCGGGGCGTCCTCTCACTATTGCAAACAGCCGAATGGGGCAGCCTGCTCTCACGACGACCAGTTTTCTCATGCTGGCATCCAAGTCGATCTCTGGAGGCTCTGCAGGGGACATTAAAGACGTTAGTGGGCTCAGCAGACATGAGGGAACCCCAGGAGAATAAATGCAGATGGGTATCCACCACTAGAGAGAAGCCTCACCGAGGATTTCTTTAGGTTTGATGGCTTCCTTTAGCTCTGCAGGGCGCCCAATACCGACTTGATTTTGGGCGCACACCCTGAACTCATACTCCTGGTTTTCATCCAAACTGGTGACTGTGAATTCCATGCGAACAAGTTGGGCGGCAGCGTTGCACCTTTTCCAGCCCTCATCGGGTGAGGCGTCCGCTATTTTGGGTCTCATCTCGACAACATATCCAATTATGGGTGCACCTCCATCATAGACTGGTTTTCCCCATCCCAGAGTTATGGAATTTTTGGTTGTATCAACCACTTTGAAATTGGTTGGCGGGCCAGGTGGTTCTGGAAAAAAAATTATATAAAAAAATGTACACATCATCAATTATTACTAGCGATTCTATTCTTTACTCTGTGTTTACTGTATATGTGTGTTCATGTTTTGACAGTGTGTACATATGAGTTCATGCATGTTTAGGCCAGAGGTCAACTCTGGGTGTCCTTGTCTCTTGCACGTCACCTTATTGTTTGATACAGGGCCTCTCACTGAAACTATCACTTACCAATTGGCTCCACCGGTTGGCCAGTGAACTCCAGAGTCTGCCCATCTATGTCCCCCTCTTGGCCCTGGGGTTATAGCTATGTGTTGTTTCACCTGGCTTTGTACAGGAGTGTTGGTGATCTGAACTCAGGCTTGTGTGGTGGGTACTTCACCCACTAAGCCACCTCCCCAGCCTCATGAAACTTTACTGTATAATTTTATGATTAATTTTCAATTTAAACAAGGTCATTTTAACTTCTTAATTCCCAAGACTTCTTTACATTCCTTTCTAAAATTTAGAGTCTACCAGTGCATATTTCTTGGTGATATGGTAAAAGGTCTAATTGGAAAAATATTAGTCAAAATGCTGTTTTTAAAAATATGAAGCAACCTGTTTGTCAGACAATTAATTTTTTGGTCAGATACATAATTTTAAGAATTGGCTTAATATTAGAAAAAAGAGGAGCATCTTACCTATGGGATCTTTTGCCACTACTGGTCTTGAGGGTAAGCTTGGTTCTCCAATGCCAACCTCATTTTCTGCCTTGACACGGAACTGATACTCATGTCCTGGGAGGAGATTCTGCACTTTCAGTCGCCTCTCGGGGATGGCACTCTTGTTGACAGGGACCCAGCGGACGGCGTGTTTTTCTTTTCTCTCCAAATAGTACCCTGTGATAGACTTCCCACCGTCGTATTCGGGGGCATTCCAAACCACAGTCATCTCTTCTTTGCTCACTTTGGTGATTTCCGGAGGATCAGGGCGGCCGGGTCTGTCGTACTTGGTTTTTGCTATGACGGGTTTACTTTCTGTTGGAGGCCCTGTGCCTATTTTGTTTTCTGCACGGACTCTGAAAATATATTCATTTCCTTCTATGAGACGGGTCACCGTAGCACCAGGTGTCAAGACATTAGCGGAATAGGTAGACCACACCATTCTCTTGCTCTCGCACTTTTCCAGGATATAATTTTGGATTTCACAGCCACCATCATCTTCTGGTGGATCCCAGCGGATAGTACACCGATCGCTGGACACATCTGTGATTTTCAGGTTTCTTACAGGTCCAGGCTTATCTAAAACATTGACAGTAGCGTAGGCCACAAAACTGCCGGCTGGATTAGTTGCCGTGACTACATATTTACCACCGTCGCTTCGTTTGGCTTTGGTACAAGAGAATTTCGAGGATTCGGCACTGGTATCAATCTTGACCCTTGGTGATCTTGTAAGATCTGTAGCATCCTTGTCCTTGGTCCAGGCCACTTCTGGGAATGGTTTGCCTCTCACACCTGCCTCGAGTCTAATGGTGTCCCCTGCTTTGACAGTTAGCACCCCGCTTAATTTCAGATCAAGGACTGGCTTCTGTAAGTCTTCCTTCACAACAACTTCCTCTGTCCTTACCCAGTCACTTTCTCCACCCTCGTTCTTAGTTTGCACTCTGAACTCATAAATCTGGTTTTCAACGCACTTGTCAACCATGTAATGGGTTTCCTTAATACTTCCTTTGTGCACTCTTTCCCAGTCAGCAGAGCCCTTCAGCCTTCTCTCGACGTGGTATGACAGATTTGGGCTGCCACCGTCGTAACTAGGCCGTCGCCATTTTAGATAGACAAATGTCTTTCCTTTATCTGCAATGTGAAGGTTTTCTGGCTCTCCTGGCTTGTCAATAGGGTTGATGGCCAGAATTGGAGTCTTTGTTTCAATGGTTGGCCCAACACCTACTTTGTTCTCCGCACAAACACGGAAATAGTATTCGTTGTTGGCCAACAGGTTGGCCTTGATCAGTCTCTTGGTGACATCTGAGGCAACGATTGACCAGCCTTTCTGATTTGGCTTACGATATTCTACTATGAAATTTGTAATTTCCGAGCCACCGTTATCTAGCGGGTTTTCCCAAGAAATTGTGCAGTTTTCCTTGGTGACATTGCTAACCTTCAGATTCTGGCAAGGCCCAGGTCTGTCAAGGACGTTAACAATGGCTGATCCTTGGGCGTGTCCACTGCTGTTCTTAGCAGAGATGATGTACTTGCCGTGGTCGGCTCTGACCGCTTCTTTAATTTGTAACTCCACGCGAGGCAGATCATGAATCAGGTCAACCCGCTTGTCCTTGACCAGGACTTTGCCCTCCTTAGACCAAGTGATGTCTGGCTCAGGTCTGCCTTTGACTCGAGCGAGAATGCGAATCGTCTGACCCACCCGAACGGTGATGACGTCACGGCATGTCACATCAAGCTCTACTTCCGGAGGATGAAGGATGTCTTTTGCAATCACAGACTCTGCCAGTTCTCTTGGCTCTCCCTCACCCACAATATTAGCTGCCCTGATGCGGAATCTGTACTCATTCCCTTCGATCAGTCCGGGTACCCTGTAGGCACACTGCCGGATGAGCTCGTCTTTGTTGATCCTATCCCACTGCGCGGTGCCGGGTTTCTGACACTCTACTACATACCCGAGGATGGGGCTGCCGCCATCACTGAGGGGCTTTGTCCACACCAAGTCCGCAGATTCTTTGCTCTTGTCTTTCAGCTTAGGATTTATGGGTGGCCCTGGTGGTTTAATGGGCCGGCAAGCTTTTATTGGGTCAGAACTTGGTGATGGATTGCTTAGTCCAGCAAGGTTTTCAGCAAAAACTCTAAACTCATATGTATTTCCCTCATAGAGTCCAGTCACCCTGAACTTCAGGTCAGCGATGGGTGTTTTGTTGACTCTCACCCATTTGCCAGTTATTTCTCGCCGCTCTACGTAGTAGCCAGTTATCGGACTGCCGCCATCAGATTTCGGCAGGGTCCAAGACACCGTTGCCTCGTTCTCAGTAATGTCGGTTACCACTGGTTTGCCAGGAGGTGATGGGGGACTGAACTTGTGCTTAGCGACAGTAGGTGTGGAGTCAAGGGGAGGGCCAACGCCCATCTTGTTCTCTGCTTTGACTCTGAAAACATACTCACAGCCCTTTTGGAGATGGGGCACCTTCAGCTTCAGCTTACTGCTTCCTGCAGAGACAACGCCCCATGTGCCTTTCCTAGTATCTTGTTTCTCAACAATGTAATTTATCACTGGGCTCCCTCCGTCATCCTTAGGTGGTTGCCATGAGATAGTCATGTATTCAGGGGTGACATCCAGAATATTAATGGGACCTGTTGGTGGACCGGGGACATCAAGGACAGTAAGATGGACAGCTACTGTTTTGGTACCAGCTGCGTTGGAAACTGTGAGCTGATATTCCCCAGTATCCTTCCTCAAGCAGTTCTTGATGGTCAGCACCGAGGAGAAGCCATCAGTCTCAACTGTGTAGCGATCTTCCGTTTTAATCTCAATTCCATCTGATGTCCACTTTGCAGTAGGGACAGGTACACCTCTTATAATAGCAGGGAATCTCACTGTGGTACCAGCTTTTACAACGAGCCCTTCAATTAACTTCACATCTAATTCCACAGATGGAGCCACTAGAAAGAAATGAAGAGGTCATTAGATTTGAATTTTCACAGTATGAATAATTCAAAGAAGAAATAAAAAAATATGCCAATCCAAAATTTACCTAGTTTCTCTTGACATTCTATTGGGATAGTTGTATCAGGGAGACCAAGACCTATGATATTTTCAGCTTTAACCCGGAATCTATAAGTCTTTCCTTGTTGTAAGCCCGTAACAACACACTCTAAGTTTTTCACAGTCTTGAACTTAATCCAATCCGTGGCACCTTCTTCTTGGTACTCCACCAGATACCCTGTGATTGGAGAGCCACCATCGCGATCTGGTTTATTCCAAACAAGAGAGACCTCAGTCTTATCGACATCGACGTGGTGTAGGTCCTTGGGTGGCCCTGGGGGATCTTTGAAAGAAAAGTTATGATGAACAAACAATTATCTCAAATCTGGTCAAACAAAACTCTATATTCAGAAAAGTAACTCACGGAGAGGATCCAGAGCCTTGATGGGCTTGGGTGTCTCAACGAAAGGACCACGTCCATATTGGTTCTCGGCAGCTACTCGGAAGAGGTACTGGTTGCCTTCGTTCAGATGTTTAGCCATGTGGCTCTTCTTCTTGGATGTGGTTGAAAGAGGGGACCACTGGGCAGTGGCAACATCTTTCCTCTCAACCACATAGTTGGTCACAACAGAACCGCCATCATCCAGTGGTTCTTTCCAAGTAAGGTAACAAGAATCTTTCCTAATTTCACTGACTTCCAGGTCTCTAGGTGGCCCAGGTTTATCTGAAATGTATTAAATAATAGTTAAGTGACAAGAAAAAGGTATTTGAGGTTTTTATTTTTAATGGCATAAGCAGTAAAGTGCGCACCTAAGACCAGTACTTTCACTGAGACAGTTTTTGAACCAGCTGGATTCTCCACAGTTAGGGAATAAATTCCCCCATCTTCGTGGGCAGCATTGCGAATTTCAAGCTTGCTTCCAACTGGAGTAACATCAATTTGTGCTTTTGTCGGAGCCTCTCTGTCTCCTTTTTTCCAGGTTACTTTTGGGAATGGCACACCTTTGATGATGGCACTCAGTCTTAGGGTGTCGCCCACTTTAATGTGCTGTTCTCTTGCCATGTTGGCATCAAGGATCAGCTCAGGAGGTTCTAAAATAAAGAAAAACACCTTCATGTAGGATTCCTTAGTGCATACTATAATAAAGTATCCAGCAGGCACCTACTTCTCACAATTGCAGATCACAGCATCTCACTCACCAAGTCGGTCCTTTACTAGCACTGGTTCAGGAACGTGGGCCGGGTCTGATTCACCAGCCTCGTTGACTGCCAGTACTCTGAACTTATAGGTCTGCCCATCCCTGAGACCACTGACTTTATATTTCGTTTCAGGGCATGACTCAGGAGTGTGATTGGCTCGTCGCCACTCTTCATCTCCCACCTTCTGGTACTCCACAATGTATCCTAGGATCTTGCTCCCACCATCGTGACGTGGTGGCTGCCAAGTTAGATCAACTGAATTACACGTCGTGTCTACTGCTTCAGGATTAATAGGTGGGCTTGGTTTAGCTACATAATCAAAGACAAAAATTTGAAAGAAGTTAAAATATAGCTGAGAAAAGCCAAACTGTATGAAAACTGAATGAATGTTTTAATACTGTACCAATTGGATCTCTAGCAAAGACAGGTTTGGATGGTGGACTTGGGTCTCCAATACCAATTTCATTTTCTGCAGAAACCCGGAACTCATACTGGCATCCTTCTAGAAGATCAGGAACTCTAAACTTAGTGTACGGATGGATAGGCTCTTTGGTAACTCTAACCCATCGTTTAGACATAGTTTCCCTCTTTTCCAGGATGTAGTTTGTGATGGGCTTTCCTCCATCGTTTGGCTTGTTCCAGGTCACTAGTGCAGAGTCTTTGGTGACCTCTGTGACAATTGGCTGCTCAGGTGCATCAGGAACTCCTGTAACAGACATTAGCAAAATGTGTTACAAGTTTCAACCTCCCTATTAACTCTGCCAAGCACTGGGTCCGCCCCCAACCATACTACATACTGAAACGATCTTTGGCTTTCATTGAATCAGACACCAGAGGGTCACTTATTCCATACAGATTTTCAGCATGAATCCGGAAGATATAATCTTTTCCTTCAAGCAGTTTTGGGACTTTGCACGTTGTTTTAGCGCTGGCAGAAGTCACAGGCATCCATATGTCTTTACCCAGCTCCTTCTTCTCAATAATATAATTGGTAATCTCACTTCCTCCATCATCAAGAGGTGGCTTCCAAGAAATAACCATGTATTCTTTGGTGACCTCATCAAAAACGACAGGTCCTACTGGTGGTCCAGGACGGTCTGCAGAAAAAAAAGAAAGAAAATCATAGCACAAAATATTATTATCACTTCTAGAAGGAAAAAGACTCTATTATTGATAAGATAAATAAAACTTACCAACAACGTTGACTTGACAGTAACCTTTCCTGGAGCCTGTACTGTTCTCCACAACTACACAGTATTTTCCAGAATCTGAGCGTTTGGACTTAGTCTTCTCAAGGGCAAGTGTCGTGGGAGTAGTCTTGATGTGGGTGCGGTCATCTTCCAGCACATCAGCCTCATCTTTGAACCAATCAACCTTAGGCTTTGGTTTGCCTGAGTAACGGCCAGTGAGGGCGAAAGCTTCACCAACTCGGACTGTGAGTTTATCTCTGAAGTCCAGGTCAAGTGTTGGGGGAGCTAAAATGTAGAGTTACAGACAAGAGTCATTTTTGCTGTCCTAGGAAAAGGCTATAGAGGTATACGTTTTCAAAGCACAAAGTGCAGCGGACACATACCCAGCTCATCTTTGCATGTGATCGGCTTGGTGCAGAATGACGGCTTGCCTTGTCCGACAATATTGACGGCACTGACACGGTACTCATAGGTGTCACCCTCTTTTAAGCCTTTCACAGTGTATTTCCTGCTAAGCAGGTTGTCGCTTGTAACTTTGTGGAACTTCTCAGTGCCAATGAGGCGACTTTCTAGGACATAGTTAATAATTTCTGATCCACCATCGTACTTGGGAGGATTCCAGGTCAAAGACACGGTATTTTTAGTGACTTCTTTGACTTCTAGGTCTTCAGGTCTCTCTGGGACAGCTGTAAATGTTAGGACAATGCCAAGAGTATCACAGTGAGAATGTAGAAGAGTACCGTAAGTACCCTTTCCTGAGGGTTACTTTAAAAAACCAAACCAGACTTCAAAGAATCTCAAAACTGTTCTCGCCATAGCACTATTAGAGTGAGAAAGGCTTCGAGGAATTCAATGTTCTCAACCAAGAGATGAGAAAATAGAGCTTCATTTTGGCTAAATAACAAAATATCTTAAGAGTAAGCAGTTTGAGAATTAGGAAAATGATTCAGTTTTTACTTACACCATTGAATGGGAAACTTACAAAAAAAGAAAACAACCCTAAACAATGGAATAAATATAGGGAAGGAATCTGAGGACTCCTACACATCCCTGCTATTTCCTTCTTTCACAGTCACAGATACAATGACATCAGATATTGAACAACTGTCTTAAAGCCTGACAAGTGGATAGCATGTAAGGCATACACACACACGGGCACACACACACACACTCAAGCACATACTCACACGCACACTATAGTGTTGTATAAATGAAGAGCAGCGTGGTTAACCATATCTTGTTCTCAACCGTACTTACTTATTGGATCTCTGATGACAAGTGCGTTTGGTGTCTCAACAAATGGCCCCATGCCAATGCTGTTTTCAGCTGCAATTCGGAAAAAGTAGGCTTTTCCTTGAATAAGACCCTGTACAGTAGCGTTTTGTCGAGTGACTGTGTAGGTCACAGGGGTCCATGCTTTGCGGTCTGCTTCCCGCTTCTGAATGACATAGTTGGTGATGGGGGAGCCGCCATCATCTTCTGGAGAGAACCATGTGAGCTTGCAGGAGTCATTGGTTAGGTTGTCAGCGAGGAATGGTACTCCAACTGGTCCTGGGACATCTGGGGACAAGTGGAAAAGATTTTAACCCATTTGTCTCCTACGCTCAATTAATACGTTATCAAAGTGAGAACAAAAATGTGGTACAGAAGAAAATAAGATTTTTGTGCTTGTTAATGAAGTTGTTGGCTTTTTTTGTCATACCAACAATATTTAACCACATCTGTCTGTATGTCTACAATTTTGATTATCTAGTTCTCTCTGTCTGCCTATCTGTCTCATCTATCTGTCTCATCTATCTATCTATCTATCTATCTATCCATCCATCTTAGCTCATTTTCTTACTTTATTGCCTAGTCTGGCCTTGATCTCACAATTCTCTCACCTCAGCCTCTCAAATAGCTGGGATTAGAGTTCAATCATATTCTAAAATGAAGTAGCCTTGTGCTAATTATGGGCTACCATGTTTTAATACAAAGCAGAGAGAATAAGATCCCTTTTAGTGAACAAAGCTTGTGAGACAGGAGGGGGTAGCTGCAAAGGTGGAATAGAGAATGCTTTGCTCTCTGTGCCTTTTCTAAATGGGAAACAGGGAGAGATGTTTTTCTGGGTCACCAGTTAGTTGATGGGTACAGAAGGCCCTGATTTTTAGCAGCTGGGATTTTATATGGAAACATATCATCTATCCAATTAAAGTAGTGTTTGTCAATGAGCTGAGAATCTTGAAACCTAAGAGCTTATGGGGTATTGATGCATGATATAATTCTGACCACCTTTTATTACTTATATTAATAGGGGGCTGACCATCATTATATTGAAATGATAGCTGTTTGGAGTGTGGCTCTACTAAACAGGATAGCATTACCTTCTGAGCAATAATAAGGGATTAAAGAAAACACACAGAAGAAGCTGGGAGAGTTGAACTCTACCTTCATTGACTAGCAATGCAACACTGATAACCACATCACTGGTTGTCTTGGAAGTCAGAATCCCTGACAGAGGTTTTCTCATTGTTACAATAAGTAGTAAAGAAGGATAGAGTTTTATGCTATGAATGGTTATTGTGGTGAAACTTTAAACATTCACAAACATTTCCAGGAAAGGTGCTTTCGTAAAGACAGGATAATCACACACTAGGTCCTTAAGGTGGCATGTCTTGTCAAAAAAAAAAAATGTAACATATGAAACTTCACATAAGGGAGTGGAGATGTGGCTAGGCGGTTAAGAGCATTTAGAGCACTTGAAGCTCTTACAGAGGACTTTGATTTGGTCCCCAACAGATGGCGACCAACAAGCATCTGTAATTCTAGTTCCAGAGTATCTAACACTCTCTTCTGGCCTCCTCACAAGCTACACAAAAATGTCATGCATACATATGTGCAGCCAAAACACCATACACACTAAAAAAATCAGAATAATATAAACTTTCATGGGTAGCAGGAATACAACAATGTGGAATACCTATGGGATAAAAATGTGAAGAGGAACATTTAAAAAAGTCTAAAATGGACAGTCAGCGGTGAACTACTTTTCTAGTACATAGTGTTGTTGTAGATATAATTAAAATGATAAATTTTAAAAAGTTGCATTTATGTATATGGTGGCACTCACAGAGGCAGGCAAATCTCTGGGAGTTTGAGGCCAGCCAGGGCTACACAATAAAAATCCTGTCTTGAAAAAAAAAAGTAAAATAAAATAAATTTTTTCAATAAAATTGAAATTATTTACCTAGCACATCAACAATAATTGTCTTCTTTCTTTCTCCGCCTTCGTTTTTAGCAAGGAGAGAGTAGACACCTTGATGGTTCCTCTGGCAGTTCTTGATGACCATGGATGAACTAATGGCTGTGGTCTCAATGGCGGCTTCTTGAGGTAAGGCCCGTTCATTCATGCTCCAGGTGACAGTTGGAGGTGGCTTTCCAGATACGTAGGCTATGATGCGGATCACCCCTCCAGCGTGGACCACTATTCTGTCTCTGACGCTGGCGTCTAGCTGAAGGTCGGGCGACACTGGGAAACAATTGAAAAAGGCAAGTGTGACTTTCACCTTTCAATATATCGTACACAAACCTGGATAAATTAGCAGAAGCAGTGGTAATTACCAATTCTGTCCTTCATTTCAATAACATCTGTGACCTCTCCAGGTTCTCCAACCCCAGCAATGTTGACTGCTCGGACGCGGAATTTGTAGAATGCTCCTTCTTTTAACCCGGTCACCACAAGCTTTGTCCCTCTCACTTCCTTATCCTTAGCCTGGTGGAAAATAACAAGCATTTTATAACTAGAGTGTTCCTAATGTAAATATGTACGCTATAACTAGTATATAATATTGTTGCTTTAATAACTCTCTCAAGTATAACTCCTACCTACCTACTCTTGTCAGGAGGTTTCAGGGATCAAACAGTTATAGACAATGGGTGAATGACTTGTCAAAATTGTGTTTATAAATTACTGGTAAATGATAGAAAAAACTGTACTGTTCCATCTTTCTAGGATTCATAACCAAAGGAAGAGTGGATAACATGACTTAACTTTTAAAAGCTCAATTTTTATTTTTAATTGATTTATCCCAACTGTATCTGCTCACAGTATAATAATTCATTACATATAAACAGATGGCAATAAGACATTCCATCTCCTTAAGTATTTATTATTTATACCTGGTAGGTGATTCCTTTCAATTTTTTAAAAGGAAATAATGATAAATTATTGGAAAGGATGGTCAGCATCCTGTGCTTCACTCACACTGTGCTATTGAATGCTAGAACTTACTTTTTTTCACTGTTTTGGTACCCAACATAGGACCTTCTTCACACTCTTGACTTGACTAATTGGACATAAATAATTATTTTTCTGATTTTTAATCTCAAACATAGAAACAAATGGGCTTAAGAAAAATTATTTAGAACTTATTCATGGAACATATCTTCAATGAACATTTTAGCTACCTTTTCCCATTCTTCTTTGCCTTCTTCCTTAAATTCAACAATGTATCCAGTTACTTTGGATCCACCATCTTTTAGTGGAGGTGACCATTCCAAGTCCACAGATGATTTTGTCCAGTCTGTCACTTTGGGGAACGGAGGACCAGGGGGAGCTGGAAAGAACCAGTATATATCAGTATTCTTGATTTCCACAGTACTTTTAGAAATCATTTTCTTTTCTTTTATTTTTTTTTCATTTTGAGCTAAGGTTTTTCTGTGTAGCCTTGGCCATTCTGGAACTTGCTCTGTAGCCCAGGCTGTCCTCAAACTCAGAGATCCCCCCTTCCTCTTCCTCCTGAGTGCTGGGATTAAAAGCGTGTGCCACCACCCATCTAGACACCTTTTTATTTTAAGAATGTAAAGGCTTACCCACTGGATCTCGAGCAGTCACTGGATCTGAGGGGAGACTTGCTGGACCCACACCCGCAGCATTGATTGCATACACCCGGAACTGATAGTCAGAACCTTCAATAAGGCCAGTCACTTTATAAGAGACTCCCAGAGTCATGGCCTTGATGGGATCTCGGTTAACTCTCTTCCATCTCTTTGAAGTGGTGTCCTTCATTTCCAACCAATACCCAGTCACGGGAGAGCCACCATCGTACTCCGGCTCTTCCCAGTTGACCGTCATGGAGTTACGAGTCACGCTGCTCACCGTCGGTTTATCCGGAGCTCCGGGGACAGCTGTGAGAACGATAGCAATTGACAAGAAGTCATCAAAAACTAAACAAAACACCAGGAAAGTTTGACCTAATGTGTGAAAATGTTGTCCTACTCACAGAAGAGGTTTCGTGCTGTTTCAGGTTCACTGTCCAGTGGCTCCCCAATGCCGTACTTATTCTGGGCCATGATTCGGAACACATATTCATGGCCTTCTAGCAGCTTGGGAATTGTGTACATGCATTCCTTAGGTTCACTGGAGACACGGACCCATGTCTTCCTGTTAGCTTCTCTTTTCTCAATGACATAGTTTGTAATCTTGGACCCACCGTCATCTTTAGGTGGAAGCCACGATAGTGTCATTTGATCGGCTGAGATAGATTCAAACTTTATGGGTCCCACAGGGGGGCCAGGACGACCTGGATGATTTTTTAAAAAAGAATATTTTATTAGTTGAATTATTTAAGGCCAAATTTTGTTTATGAATCAAAATAAAACCATATAGTTTTAACCAAACAGTACAATCATTACCAAGGACATTGAGTCTCATCTCCTTCGACGCTGTCCCCAGGTTGTTTACGGCAGTGATAGAATACAAGCCAGTGTCGCTCCGGCGAGACTGAGGGATAACTAGCGTGCAGGTGTCATCCACTACCTGCTTGTTGACGTGGGTGTCATAGACCACAGGCTCTTTGCTATCAGGCTTCTTCGGAGGCGCTTTAAACCAGGTGAGAGTTGGGAATGGCACACCTTTAATTTTGGCCACTATGTTAACATCAGTTCCTTCTTCCACTTCCATGAATTCTTTGAGCTCAATTGATGGTGGGCCTGGATAATTAATAAGAACAAAACGTTAACACAGGTAGCCAAATGCACTAAAGACTAGAATGTGAATTTTAATGCGGCTATAAAGCCAATTTGGGTTGACTGTATTCAGACTTCATTGTCCACCCTGACATAAGTAATGGGTCTCTCTTTAACACTGTCATTCTAGTGTGGGACAATGACCTGTAGCTATCTTTTATTGGATCTACATACAGCTGTCTATATGATATTGCCTCTCCCTCCTCATGCTTTACCATACACATGAAAATTCTGACCAAGGGTGTAAGTGAAGACTGCTCTTTCATTTCCTGACTGCTCAGGCCCAAATAATCACCAAGAAACTGTATTAATTACAACACGGTTTGGCCAATGACTCTAGCATATTTCTAGCTAGCTCTTACTCTTGAATTAACCCATTTCTGTTCATCTGTGTATCACCACGCGGCTGTGGCCTACCGGAAAGGTGAGGTTTCTGCAGGCATCTTTCTCCTTCGGCAGCTACACGGCATCTCCTTTACTCTGCCTACTCTTCCTATATATCTCTGTTCAGAATTCCCACCTGGCTTTGCTCTACTAAGCCATTGGCCAAAGGAGCTGCTTTATTAACCAATGGTAATAAAACATATTCACAGCACACAGAGGGGATTCCCACATCACAAGGGCAACAAGGCATGACTATCACAGTAGTTTATGCTTAACACTTTGGGTCATGGTGTTTTTCTTTAATAATCTGCAGAGTTATAAAGTCATTTCCATGCTTATTCAGAGGTTCTGGCGTGAATTTTTATAAGAAATATAGTTACTGGTAGAAGCCAAACAATTTTCTATAAATCTATTATGAGTGTGCAAAAAGGATTGACACAATCATAAAACAAAAAATAAATACACAGTGACAGTGATGGTAACACTAATGCAAAGAGACTTATTTATGGAGCTTATCTTCAAAACTCAAAGCTGAAATGGGTTTTCTCAAAAAGAGAAAGTCTTGATAGGAAAGATACATTGGTCTTAGCAGGTGCTAAGCCAATTACTAGCTTTCTGCCCCTTTTAATTCCTTTAATTTCTGTTAGATAAGACAGCCTACCTTGGAGAAAATTACAGGAAGGAAATTAGATGTGTCTTGTCTATAGTAAAAGCAATATGAAAGACATTCGCTAATTCAGAATTAGCATATTCCATAATGGGGTAAATAGTAACTGAATCATGTTTCCATGCCTACATGAATCCCACGGAAACACATGGATCTACCGATTCTTGATTACTAGATACATAGGAAGGAAATTCTCTGTTAAATACGTACATGTCTGGTCCTTGACAATCACAGGGCCAACAGTGGCTGAAGGCTTGCTGACCCCGGCCTCGTTGACGGCCTTGACTCTGAATTCATATTCCCCACCCTCTATGAGGTCTTCAACAGTAAATTCCAGTTCTTCCACATCACGCTTATTACACTGTCTCCAGGCTTCTTTCTTCTTCCCAGTAGGGTCCCATGCGAGGCACTCGACAATGTAGTGGGTGACAGGAGAGCCCCCATCATTCTTTGGAGGTTTCCATGACAGATGTACCGTGTTCTTCGTTATCAGACCAATCTTGAGTTTAATAGGAGGGTCAGGAGGATCTGTAAAAATGTTTACAGGAATCGTTAAGCATGGTTATTAATAATGCGGCTCATTCCCGAGACCGTATTTTAAACTTGCATTCCAAAACTTACAGATTGGATCTCTCGCAGTGGTCCTCTGAATGGTTTCTACGGGTGGGCCAATTCCAAAACGGTTTTCTGCTCGCACGCGGAAGAAGTATTGCTGCTCGGAGATGAGATCCGGCACCACGAATGTGGTGCTTCCGCAGTTGGGATTGACTTTCGTCCAGGCTTTTCCATCTATTGTCTTCTTCTCGATGACGTAGCCTTTGATCCTATCTCCTCCATCGTCGTCTGGCATCTTCCATGACAGTCGGCAACTGCCCCTCGTAATGTCACTAACCTTCAAATCCTTGGGCGGGCCTGGCGCATCTGTTGGTTGCAAACCACAGTGTAAACATCGTTCCGTGGATGCTGAGAGCAGTTTGCCCTGACTCGGTAGCAACTGTGAACGTCTTTCTTACCCATGACTTTAACTCTGCAGTTGGCAGTTTTCTGTCCGGCTTTATTCTTGGCTGTGATGCTGTATTTGCCCGTGTGAGCTCGAGTACACTCCGGGATGATGATGACAGAGGAGTTCTCGGCAGTCTCCAGCTGTACGAAGGGAATCGTAGTCATACATGAAATGAGACCGCTGTACTTCTAAGGTCACTCACGCTCCTAATTCATTAAGCTAGCCCCTCTTACCTGTGCATCTTCAGGGATGTCATGAATGTTGTCCTATTAGAAAAGAAGACAGTTATGTTTGAAATACTGCTTCTGGTTATCCAGTGGAAGACGCAACACAGGGAAGTGCTGGGATTATTACCTTCATTGCCTTCTTTGCCTTTCCGTCAAATTCCCAAGATGATTTTGGCGTTGGGCGCCCCTTGATGACAGCAGGGATTCTGATCTGTGAGCCAGCTTTACACACCAGGCAGTCCTGTGCTCCGATGTCAATGAACACCTCTGGAACCTCTGGAATGGTAATGGGACAGCCGTTAGCTGACACTTCTCAAAGAGGTAACAGACACGTCTCTGGTACATGGATGTCACAGCCTGATCAGACAAGGTGAACACACACGCTGAACAGGGAAGACTACCTTGAATGTCAGACAAGGTGAACACACACGCTGAACAGGGAAGACTACCTTGAATGTCAGACAAGGTGAACACACACGCTGAACAGGGAAGACTACCTTGAATGTCAGACAAGGTGAACACACACGCTGAACAGGGAAGACTACCTTGAATGTCAGTGGCAGGGATCTCTCCGGTCGTGTCACTTGGTTCGGATTCACCGGCTTCATTGACAGCCTTCACTCTGAACTTGTACTTTCTCAGCTCTTTCAGGTTAGGCACCACACACTCACAGGTAGTTAGGAGTTTATCCGGTTCGTTGACTTTTTTCCAGTCCGAGGTACCCTCCTCCTGCATTTCTACGATGTAACCTTTGATCGGGCTGCCACCATCTTTGGCTGGAGGTTTCCATGCCAGAGAGATGCTTGATTTTGTTTTATCTTTAACCTCTGGGCGCGAAGGTGGCCCAGGGGGGTCTAATAAGGAACAAACAAACAAACGTCACATTTTGAAGTAGTGGAATGCTATTTTTATGTATACGATAAGACTTTCACTAGGTAAAAGACATTTATTGTTGTCTGTTATCATATTAAAATTGAGGTGCTGAAAAACACGTATAAGAAATAAGAGTATATTTTATTTCAGTATTAATGCAGAAACAGAAGCAAACAATCTCTGGGGAAAGGATTACTCACTATCTCTCACTAGAGCTATACCCCGTGAACATACCATCGGTGAAAAGAGTTCCACCATGTGAGCAAACCATTGGTGAAAAGAGCTGTACTCTGGTCAGGCGGTGGTGGCACACAACTTTAAGCCCAGCACTTGGGAGGCAGAGGCAGGCGGATCTCTGTGTATTTGAGGTCAGCCTGGTCTACAAGAACTAGTTCCAGTACAGGCTCTAAAGCTATAGAGAAACCCTGTCTCGAAAAACAAAACAAAACAAAAAAAAAGCTGTACTCTGTAGCACAGCACCGGTGGAAAGAGCTGTACCCCGTGAGCACAGCATTGGTGGAAAGAGCCGTACCCCGTGAGCACAGCACCAGTGGAAAGAGCCGTACCCCGTGAGCACAGCATTGGTGGAAAGAGCCGTACCCCGTGAGCACAGCACCGGTGGAAAGAGCCGTACCCCGTGAGCACAGCACCGGTGGAAAGAGCTGTACCCCGTGAGCACAGCACCGGTGGAAAGAGCCGTACCCCGTGAGCACAGCATTGGTGGAAAGAGCCGTACCCCGTGAGCACAGCACCAGTGGAAAGAGCCGTACCCCGTGAGCACAGCATTGGTGGAAAGAGCCGTACCCCGTGAGCACAGCACCAGTGGAAAGCTATCTTACTTTTGACATCCTCCTGAAGAGATTCAACAGTGTATTATAGCTGAATATTTTATTTCCTACAATATGGAAATTTAAAATATTTTCATCACTAGCTGGGCAAACGTCTGGATACAAACAACTCTCAAGGCTCTTTAGGGGCAGAATCAATGTTCCCACTCATCACACCGTAATGCTTTCCTGATGGTGCCTGATGATGAAATACTGCTACCTAGTCGGCAGGGTGTGTCACCCCTCCCCGTCCTTGCGTATAGGGTGAACCCTTGAACAGTCCATGCGCCAAAATAATTTGCTGTATGAACACAAATGAACCTTATTATATATTTGTCCTCTATTGCATGGAGGTATATTAAATCTTTAATTGAAAATGTTGGAGTTTTTCTTTAAAGAATATAGCCAGGTATTACTGAGAAAATGCGCTGAGTCAGGAAAATTACTATATTTTCAGGCCTGAGCTGATCTGCCCATATATGATCCAATGAGATTTTTCATTATTTGACCTCAGCTATTCTGCCTGAGAATTTGATGTCTTTGTTCAACAAATAGTTAATATTTTACTTTTTTATTGAATTCTTCCAAGAGGGTCTGTTTAGCGGGGGAAAGGATATCCACAGTAACTAATGAGATGGAGTTTAGAACCCATACCTTTTAGTCCATTTCTGTATCACTTGGTTAAAAAAAATACTAACTATAACCCAATATTTTAAAAGCTAAAACTACATATATGCACATATATGTACTTACTTCACTATGACTGGTTCTAATAAAAATGTGAGAAATTTAAGAGTAAGCTACTTAGTAACTTTACCCAATAGAAACGAGTCCTAGAAGTAAAATATACTTACATATGGGATCTCCTGCGATGGCTGGGTCTGACGGTTCACTGGGAGGGCCGATTCCTGCGGCGTTAATTGCCATGGCTCTAAACTGATACTTCACCCCTTCAATCAACCGTGGAACATTGAATTCTATGCCCTTCAGGCCAGCTTTGGTTATTGGTGCTCGGCTAACACGTGACCAGTAGCTACCGCCTTCTTCTCTCTTCTCTAGCCAGTAGCCAGTAATTGGAGAACCTCCGTTGTCCAAAGGAGGGGTCCAGCTCACGAGCATAGACCCTTTGGTGCGTTCTAAGACTTTGGGTTTTCCAGGAGGTCCCGGGAGGCGATAGGGGTCTTGAATGGTGACTTTGTCTGATTTACATTCATCGCTGATTCCATATTTATTCACTGCCCTCACTCGGAACTCATACTGACCGTTGGGGATGAGCTTCCAGATCTAGAAACGTGGGTGAATAAGGGAGTCAGAACAAACCTGCTTGGACTGCTGTCTGACTTATTTCAAAGCTCAATTTGTTTGAAGATGGATCACCACGAGAAGTAAACACAAAGGATGAAATTGTAGGAAAGAGAGAGGAAAAGAGCAACCCTTAAAAAAGAAGACCTCAATCTTTGTAGTTTCCAGAGGATTTGAGTAAGAGAGTAGTAAGCAGTATTTGCTGAGTGGCCGTATGTGCATAATAATAAGAGTGCCAAACTCACAAATAGTTTCTGCTTGTGTGGAATTTTGAGTTTAATTGTTAAATTATAAAGTTATCTTAAACTGCTATCAAATCATAAAGTTATATTAAAAGTGGTATCAAGTCGGAACTATGCCCTATGAATGTGCATCTATTTGGAAGCACTTACCCCGTATCTTCTCTCCACAGCAGTGTTAGTGACTTCTTCCCACTCAGACTTCTTCCTGCTGGCATCGCGTTTGTCAATGACGTAATGGGTAATTTCACTGCCACCATTGTCTAGAGGGGCATCCCATGTCAGATAGCAAGACTCAGCTTTAATGTCAGTAACAGCGAGGTTTCTGGGTGGAGATGGACGATCTGGAAAAGAACCGTAGCGGGGACTGAGAAGCCGTTCTTGAACAGGAGGTAGCTTTCTTTCCCACACAGGAGGCAAATGTGGGATATACATGCTTACCATATACTTCCACATGAACGTTGCGGAATACGGAGCCAAGACGATTGGAAGCGGTGATTGTGTAAGTGCCCTTGTCCTCTCGGACGGCTTTGGGGATGCTCAGCTCAGTCTTGGCCTCGCTTCGGGATACTTCTTCTTTGGTTATTTTAAGCTCATCCGTGGGTTTCTCAATCACCTTTTCATTCTTGGACCACTCAATCTTAGGCATGGGGAGTCCCGTCACATCAGCAGGGATGTTAACCGGCTCTCCTGCCTTAACTTTGATAGTGTCTCCTCGAACAGCCAGGCGCAACTTAATAGCTGGAGGAACTGCAGAGAGAAGTCAAGAGTGCAGAAGTCTTAAGACTGTGTCCCAAGTCATCATAAAGCACATTAGTGGCATCAGAGATGAAACCCATACCTTCATCATCTTGGATGACTACGTTAAGAGGCAGGGATGGTTCGCTTTCACCAACGCCATTGACGGCTTTCACCCGGAACTCATACATCTGGTGCTCATCGAGATTGTCAACCACAAATGACGTGGTTGGGCAGAGTCTCTTGTTAACTCTCTCAAAGTCAGGTTTGTCATGGCGGCGTTTTTCAATGATGTATCCTTGGATGGGACTGCCGCCATCACTGCGGGGCTCTTTCCAGTCAAGCGTGATGGTGGATTTTGTCCTTTCTGTGTACGTGAGCCTCTCAGGAGATGTTGGAGGACCTTAAAGCAGAAGCAATTGAAAGTATGAGTATGAAGCAAGTGTTTACATAAGAAATGTTATGTCACCTCTGTTTGTGTGAAAAATAGATTAAATGGCATTTTCAGAATCCTTTTCCAAACATACCAGTCGCAATGACAGCCATTCTCACTAACAGCAGATTTCTTCTTAGTGAATATCTCATCAGAATCACTAATTGAAAATAAGTCAAGGGTATGTGTTTTGTATTTAGTATTTTAGATTGTATGCCTGGGACACTGACAGATTGTCTTAGTCTACCAACCTAGGAAAATAGGTGTGTGATGTTCTGCTTTGAATGCCAGCAGAAAGCATTGTGGTTTTTTTCTCTTGTGGCCAAACAGTAGACATGGTTACTGACCACCCTTTGAGTTATATTGCTTCAAAGGAAAGATCATTTATGAAATACATCAAAGGTTTTGTTTTCTTAAGAATAGGCTCTGACGGGTGTAAGTAGAGCAATCCCATTCTAGCTGACTGTTACTGCAGAGGGAATCCCAGTTCTATCTATCCTGAGGCCTCTGGCACACCCTGAAACTCATGGACTTTATGGGGTGATTGAAACGGTGATGTGTGCTGTAATTCTCTTTTTCCAGATGCCGGAGTGGAAGAGAACCTCCTGTTTCTGGAGGAGTGGATTTTCTTTTAAGAGGGCCATAAAGGTGTATTACTAAGTGTGTAGAATTTTAGTGTTTCATTTTAGTTTCTGGGGGACTTCCTCTGGTTTTCTATTCTTTGAGGGATCTTTCTGATTGGGGGTCTCCCTACCCTTCCAGTATGAAGACTTCTTAGCAGTGTAGTAAATAAAACTCAATCATTTATTTTATGACAACTACCTGCCTCATAATTTTCTTTTTAGAAAAGCAGAGAATTCTATGTAACCACCAATTCACTTTACTTGTTTGTCTTTAGACATGGTTTCTCTGTGTAGCCTTGGCTATCCTTGGACTTGCTCTGTAGACTAGACTAGCCTTGAACTCACAGAGATCTGCCTGCCTCTACCTCTTGAATGCTGGGATTAAAGGCGTGTGTTACCATGCCTGGTCAGACTGTTGTATTTAGAGATCCTCTACTATATTGGTAATATTGAATGCTTCTAAATTATTTGAACTACTTGTAGGTTATTATGAAGGCTTTGTAGATCCAAAATTTTTGGCACAGAAAACGCCACATCTTTCATATACATAAAGCAAAAACACATGGAGATTTAGCAAATATGGTATCTTAAAAATTGCTAATAGATATTTGATTTTCTTTTATTATCCTCTAGCTAATCTAAGATCTTGAGACTGTTGGGTGTTTGATACCGTAAGTCTCAGCAAATACTTGACTTATCTATAAACAGAATATCATTTATTTGGTAAACACAGTGAAAATCTTTTCTTACCTAGTGGATCAACTGCAAGAATTGGTCCTATTTCAACAGGAGGCCCACAGCCAAACTTGTTCTTGGCAATGACACGGAACTTGTATTCCTGTCCCTCTATGAGACCTGTGATGTCACACTTGGATCTCTCCGTCTCAATGGGCTGTCTCCACGTGTGCATCTTGGCATCTTTCCTTTCAATTATAAACCCTGTGATTTCACTTCCTCCGTCATCTGCTGGATCCGACCAATTCAGCAGACACATCTTTCTGTTTGTTACAACAGGTTTTAGGTCAAGAACTGGGCCAGGAACATCTGGGAAAAACAGTAACAAACAATAAACAAACAAATCAGTGTCGTAAGATCACATGCCATGGGAAAATCCTATGAAAATCCTCTAGATGTTCCTTACCGAACACTTCAACCCGGACTGCTGCGAATTTGGAACCACAGCTGTTTGTTGCTGTGATCACATATCTGCCATGGTCTTTTCTCAAAGCATCCTTGATAATTAGCTCAGATTTGGTTCCGACATTCTCTATTACAACACGCTCTTTATCCAGCTCCCCTTCTTCGATGGTCCATACTCTTGTGGGCACAGGCCGGCCAGTCACCACGGCTGGGATTCTGAGAGTTTTCCCAGCCATGATCTGTATGCCTCCCTTTACAGAAACATCCAGTTCCACAGTTGGAGGCTCTGTTGAGGAAGAACGGCCGTATATGTTAGTGCAAGGAGCAAGAAAATGTAGCCCCATGTTGGGAAACATCCAATCCCTCCCCAAGAAAACTTTAAAGTACCTTGTGGTTCAGCCACAGTAACAGGTTCTGTTTCCCCAGGTGGCCCTTCACCGGCTGCGTTGACAGCGCTCACTCGAAGTTTGTAGTCCGCGCCCTCTCGAATTTCTTTGACGGTGAACTGGCGGACTTTGATCATCTTCTCTGTGCAGCGTGACCACTCGTTAGTGCCAACCAACTGCTTATCGACAAAGTAGCCAATAATCTCCCCACCACCGTTGAAAGCTGGGGGTTCCCACTCCAGCTCAATGGTCGTAGAGCTTGTATCTGCAACTCTTGGGATGGGTGGCCCAGGCGGAGCTAGGATGAAGGCAGAAGACACAGGTCAAGTTCATCGCTGGTTTCCAAACGCAGGCTAGACTACTCTCATATGCTCTCGTCTTAAGAAGGTACTTACAGATGGGGTCACGAGCTGTTTTGGGGTCTGAAGGCGGGCTGAACTTTCCAGGCCCAGCAGCATTTTCGGCACAGACTCGGAAGACATAGGTGAGTCCTTCTAATAAGCCATCTACCTTGGTCTTCAGAGAACTGAGAAGGGTTTTGTTGACACGAGACCAGTGTGTGCTGTTGACCTCACGTTTTTCAAGCCAGTAACCCAAGATGGGGCTGCCGTTATCCTTTGGCTCATTCCATTTTACCAGCATGCTGTTGCTGGTAACATCTTCCACAATGGGCTTATCTGGGGCATCAGGAGGTTCTGAGGAAAAAATATATTTGAATTGTATATATAATATGATATAAAATCAATTTTACACAACCATGATGATGGAAACAGGAAGCATATGGTGGAAGGCCAACTTAAGATGCTAAAAGAACCTTACCAAATGGATCTTTGGCCAAAAGTGGCTTGGAGACACATGGTGGCCCAGGTCCCAACCTATTTTCAGCTCTTACACGGAAGAGGTACTCTTTTCCTTCAATCAGTTTTGTTACTGAATATTTGCAGTGTCTGAGTGTTGAAGTGATAACAATCCATTCGGAGTCAGGTTTGGTCTTGTCTTTCTTTTCCAAGGTATAGTTAATTATCTCACTGCCGCCGTCATCGAGGGGTGGTTCCCATTTACAGAGGACAGAGTTCTTCCTAATATCCTCAAATACAAAGTTGATTGGTGGTCCTGGTGTATCTAATATATCAAAGGAGATGGGTGATTAAAATTTTGTATAGAACCGGCTGCTGTAGAAAACGTGTTAGTATGGTCTTTGGGTACAACTTCTAGTTTTCCCATATCCTTCTATCTTTATATTACATTAGCTAACAAAGAACAAGGTCAGTTGATTATTTTTCAATAGTGTCTGATTAGGTGATAAAATGTAAATGAGAACCATTTGCTGAAGTTGTTTCTTTTAAAGGGTCCCCAAACTACTTATTTTTATGTCTTGCTAGAACTTTTAGGTAGACTTTCTTTCTCCATTGTGAAGTAGTTTTAACTACTTACCTAACACAACAACAGTGCAAGGTGCTTTGGCAACACCATGATCGTTCTCAACTTTGATCATGTACTGGCCGTGATCCGGTCTCAGAGAGTCACGGATGCGCAGCTGAGATTCTCCTTGTTTGCTGTTATTGATGCTCAAACGCTCTGTCAGAGGCAGGAAAAACGGCTCCTCTTCTTCAGCCTCACCCTTCTTCCTCCTAACTGGGGGTGCTGCCCGCTTCTTAATTTCCTCCGGTACAATGACATTTTCATCCTTTATCCATGTGATTGTTGGGTAGGGTGAGCCAGAAATGGTCGCATCAAGTGCTATTTCATCACCCCGTTTAACTTCCAGGCTTGTTTTGAGGATGACTTTTGGGGCATCTGTAATGATTAAAAGTCAAAATTGCCTTTAATTCTCAACCAAGCATGAACCCCATTTGTTTTACAATGAAAAAGCAGCACCCCCAATAAATAAAACATACCAATAGGATCTACAGCTTTGGTTGGGGGCGTGGCCCGAGAAGGTTCACCAATACCAGCAGCGTTCTCTGCTCGCACACGGAATTGGTACTCTTTCCCCTCCTCAAGTCCTTTGGCTGTATAGGTCAGGACAGGTACCAGATGCTCATTGCATCTCCTCCATCTGTCTTCACCCTTAGCAATCTTTTCTATGATGTAACCCATTATCTTGCTTCCTCCATCATACAAGGGTGGCTTCCATGTGATAGTCATTGCCTTAGCTGTAGGATTATGAACCTCAACATCCACAGGTGGATCAGGCGGTTCTGGCGAACAAAGAAAAATACCTATTACTATCAGTGAAACCAATTAATGCAAAGACAGTAATTCTTGGATATTCTGTCTTAGCTATCAAATGTCTATGTTCGAACTTACGCTTTGGATCTTGAGCGATGACGGGATTCTTGAGTTCAATATATTCGCCTCCACCAATCTTGTTGACTGCTTTTACCCGGAAAAAGTATTCACCATTTGGTATGAGATCCTTTACGGTCCAAGACAGTTTGTTCTCACCAGACATGACTGGTATGTATGTCCTCCTCCCAGCCTCTCTACGCTCCAGGACATAATGAAGAATTGGGCTTCCACCATCATATTCTGGAGGCTCCCATGTTAACTTGCAAGAACTCTTGGTTATGTCACTTGCTTTGATATCTTTGCATGGACCAGGTAGACCTGTTATATATAAAATTGATAATTACTATCATAAGCTTGAAAAATTAGCATTTGAATAGTGAACTATATCTGATTTGGAATATATATATATTTTTGGGTGGGGTAATCTTTTCTGTGCTACCATCCCTCAGAACACAAGACATTTAGCATCTTTGTTCCCCATCTGTTACTAATCAGAAACATCAATCCTTGAGTATTTATGTTAAGCAAAATTGCTCCATTAATATCCAACTAAAACCAGGGATGGTAGTAAAGGACAGAAAAATATTATTCCTGAAGGAGAAGACTATAGAAAGCTGAATTTATATAATTCAGAAAGAAATATTGATCACTGAAATATTCTTTAGGTGTGCTAGATAGTTTACTTAAATTAGTATTTCATATGCAAATAAATTAATCAGAGCTTAATTATTAATCTAATCTCTTCAAAACTGCTTTTCAAATGAAAACACTTAAGGGAGTGTTCGGGGTCCAAATGCCAGTGCTTGAAGCTATTTGTACAGACTGTCGCAAAGCTAGCTATTAAAACTTCTGGAACAGATGCTGAATGCCCAGAATTTCATTACAGAATTGTTACCTATGACTTTGACATTGATTGAAGCAGTTGCTGAGCCAAGCTTATTCTCCAGGGTGATGGTGTAAACTCCGGCATCTGCATGGACACTCTTGGGAACCTCCAGGTGTGCAGAGATGTGGTCACTCTTCATTGTTAATCTGTCGCTGGCTTTCACTTCTTTGCCGTCTTTATGCCAGCTCACAGTTGGAACTGGGACAGCTCTGAAGGGCACAGGGATGCTTAACTTTTCACCTTCGATAACAACGATGTCATGAGTCTCTAGATCAATTGTTGGTTTGCCTACAAAACATCAAGGGGTAGGGGAAAATACGTTAAAATGCAATGATCAGGAAAAAAGAATGTATTATCAGCTATAAAACATATCTAATTCTTACAGTCTGGGTCTTTGGCAACCACGTTCTCAGAGATTTCAGATGGCTCACTGACACCAACAGCATTGACGGCTCTCACTCTCAGGACATATTCCTTGTCGGGAACAATTCCCTCTTCAACTTTGAACTTCAAATCTTTTACTGGGCGAGAGTTAACTCGCATCCATTTCTCGGTGCCCACCGGACACATTTCAACATGGTAGCCTATGATAGGACTGCCACCATTTTTCTCTGGAGGTTTCCAAGCAATGGCAATGTGTTTCCTCCCAGCGTCAGTCACATGCAGATCAAGAGGAGGTGAGGGAGGACCTGGGAAGACAGCAGCAAAGCATTGACACCCCAGTCTCACCACCAGGCCCTACACAATCTCCTCTGAATGATCGGCATGACTGACTTACTTGTCGGATCTTCAATTGACAGGATTTCTGTGGGCTCACTTGGGTGACCAACTCCTGCCTCATTTTCAGCCCGAACTTGAAACTGGACTTCTGTGCCTTCGATGACATCAGTTACTCTGAAGTTACAGTCGGGGCCTGAGGTCTTCCCAGCTTTTACCCAACGGGTGCCTAATTTTTCCTTCTTCTCAATGATGTATCTGTTGGAACAAAACATTTCACTTAGCACTCAGAAAGGCAGAAGTTTGTCCCGGATGTCCATGCTTAACTCTTTTTAAGTGGAATGGAAGCTCTACCTCTGGATCGGTCTTCCACCGTCGTTTTTAGGTGGTTCCCACTTGAGGTCAACATGTCGCTTTGTCACGTCAACCACTGTCAGGGCATAGGGTGGTCCCGGGGTGGCTGTTGGCAAAATAACCAGTGGTTAGAAAGACCCCAGGGAAGATGTATTACTCGCTACAAATGCTGCTGCAAAGACTGAGTTACGGTGCATACTGAAGGTGTCTTTGGCCAGGACGGAGTCTCCGATTTCGGTGTAGTCACTTTGCCCGATGGCATTTTCTGCAGCCACGCGGAACACATACAGAGAGCCCTCTGTCAGGGGGGTTACTGTGCACTTGGTCTCCTTGACCGTGGTGTCCACTGTTTGCCAGCCTTTCCGCCTCACGTCTCTCTTTTCCACGATGTAGTTGGTGATGGGTGACCCTCCGTCTTTCTCAGGAACTGTCCATTTTAGGTCAGCTGAATTCTTTGTGATATTAATCACTTCGAGCCAACGAGGTGGTGACGGAGGATCTGAAGAAAAGAGAAAAAAAAAGTCCCATGTAAGTCTTTACCAAACGTTCTCATGGTGTCAAGGAAACAATAAGGCAAGGTGGGAATAATAGGTTTAAAATCTCCCTTAGATGTAGAGTGACTTACAGAGTTTCTCCCGGCAAAGCACAGGGTCGCTCGGGTCACTGGGCTCACTCTCTCCAGCCTTGTTCACGGCTCTCACTCGGAACGAGTATTCCTGCCCTTCCATCAGGCCTGTGAGCAAATGCTCAGTGGTGGGGACACCCTCAGCCACTCTGACCCAGTCGTCTGTCCCTGTCTTCAGCATCTCAATGACGTAAGACTCAATCTTTGCCCCTCCATCGTGTTCTGGCTTGGTCCAGTTCAATACTAATGATGTTTTGCCTATGTCCTTTACAGTTGGTTTTCCAGGAGGCCATGGAGGATCTGCAAGTCAATTTCAACATTATTTGTTTTGTCCAAAGGAAGTTAATATATGCCTCAAAACAACCACAGAAAATCATATAAATAATACCTATGGGATCCTTTATTAAGATTGGTTCAGTTGATCTACTTGGCTTTCCAGGTCCAGCCAAATTTTCAGCCAGCACACGGAATCTGTACTTTTTCTTATTGGTGAGACCTTTCACTCTGGAGCAGGGACAAGGTAACATCATGGTAAGAAGTGTGTACTATACATAGAAGAGGCTAACTTGTTAAAATAGTGAGAATCAATTTGTAAATTTAACTGAATATTCTTCCACATAAATTTAAAATTATTTTTAATTGCACTGTCACATTCTTTATATTAAGCCATATATATTACTCAAATTCTATAATATTATACAAATTATAATATTATCAGTTATGCTAATATATTGGAAGACCAAATGCTTAGAAATGCCTAGAAGGTTACTATTATAGAGATAGCAGATATGGTATCCATGTCATTTAAAAACCATGTGCCAACAGGCAACAGAAGTAAGAGTGATGAAAATCTCTTGATTTGTAATCACATGTGATCAAAGGGAATGGTGGTGTGCCAACAACTGAGTAAGTGGCTAATTTGAAGCATGACAGACAGGTGGGGTGGGCTCACCTGTAGGTTGTGTCCTTCACTGGCATCTTATTGCATCGGACCCATTTGTCAGTGTCGGGGTCTAATCTTTCCACCCAGTATCCGGTGATGGGGCTGCCACCATCGTCATCCGGCTCACACCACGTGAGGGTCACTGCATCTTTAGTGATGTCGGAAGGTTCCAGGCGAGTTGGCGGTCCAGGCGGATCTATAGACGGCATAGTGACAGAAAAAAGTCACGATCTGCACCCAATACCTACGTGCACGGTTGATATAACCCATCCCTTTTTCTTCTCTTTAGTTAGCGGATTGAGCATCTCACCAAACTGATATTTGGCGACTATTGGAGCAGCCTGCACTGGCTCGCCAACGCCGTACATGTTCTCGGCCGCAACTCTGAAGATGTACTCTTTGTTGGGTGTCAGCTTGGTCGCCTTGAAGTGTGTGTCCTTCACAGTCGAGGAGAGCTTGTGCCACACATCGCTGTCGGTCGCCTTCCTCTCCACGACATAGTTCGTGATCTTAGATCCACCATCATCTCTTGGCGGGTTCCACGTCAGAAGACAAGACTCATTGGTTACCTCTGTGATGTCAAAAGCAGCTGGTGGTCCGGGTTTATCTGTGGATGGCATCACACGGGAAAAAAAATGTTATAAACTGTTTTGTTCAAGTAGCCATGGCGAACTTAATCCTTTTACAAAGAAGAGCCTCCCTTACCCAAGACGTTCACTTCCACCACGGCGGTGGCCCGGCCGCAGACGTTCACAGCTTCGATGATGTACGTGCCCGTGTCACTCCTCTTACTGTCTGTGATTGTCACCGTGGATTTCTTAGGAACGTTTTCGATGGTGATTCTTTGGTCTGGCTTCAGAAGGGTATCCGCCTTTGTCCAGGTTATTTTAGGTTCAGGCTTTCCAGTCACAGTGGCCGGAAGCTCAATCTTTGTGCCGGCTTTTACCGTGAGGCCAGCGAGGAGTTTCACATCAAGGAAGATCTCAGGAGCCTCTGAATTGGAAAAGATTATTCACACTGTTAGCGAGTTCAAGCTGACAAGGTCAGAACCCTGACTGATAAGACAAGAAAATGATAAATACCCTGTGTGTCCACCGCCTGGATTTCTTCTGTGGGTTTGCTTGGCTTGCTGGCACCTAGCCTGTTCAAGGCTTTCACGCGGTAGGCATACCATTTGCCTTCCTCGAGGCCTGTCACTTCCATTCTGTCAGAACACAAATAGGGGCGTTATGGTCACGGAGATAATCTATTACACTTAGAGTTATGTAGTATAGTTATTTCTCTAGAATTCATACCACTAACATAGTACCAGATTTTAGATGGAATATCTGGATTGTGGGGAGTGGAGGAAGCAATGAATGTGTCAGGAATGGATGTAGTACTGGTGAATTGTGCTGTTGACGTGAGCACAACCATGTCCTCAGACTCATGGAAATGGCAAAGCCTTCCTCTGGTCTAAGTACCAATGTTGACAAACCTTTGACCTTTAGGTAAGACTAGTGTATACAAAGTATCAACCACAGCTTCTTCCTCCTGAATCTCCTCTACCCAGACCTCCCACTGAGACTGTCTAGACTAGTGTATACAAAGTATCAACCACAGCTTCTTCCTCCTGAATCTCCCCTACCCAGACCTCCCATGGAGGCTGTCTACAGCCTCCTCTTTGGGCTGTACATAATAAACCTGCTGAGTTTGCTGGTAGCATAGGAGATGTCCTCCATTATCCCAAAAAAACACACACTAGACCACAGTTTTTCCTGTATGTATCTGCTATGTCTTCCATTTCTTCATTCCTGTGTTGCCCCGGTCAGGTTCCTGGGACCAGGCTATTCTTGACGTGTGACTGGACTTTTCAATATCATAACTAATGAAACCTTGAACGCTATCTATGCTCTGCTGAACTTTGTGAAACCGGATATAGGTATACTAGAAAGATTCTTAGTGAGGAAAAAAAATGAACATTTAATGTCTCCCAGGTAAAATCCATTCTAGTGGGTAGGAGTCGGAATTACTCATGTATCCAGTTTAAAAACAAACACCTACTTTGTGTCTGCAACAGGCTCGCCACAGGCAACCCATTTGTCAGAACCACGGGGGCATTTTTCAACTATATATCCTTTGATGCGCGAGCCACCGTCATTTTTAGGAGGATCCCATGTGAGGAAGATGCTCTTGGCAGTCCTGTCTCTCCACTTGACATTCTCAGGTGGGTCAGGTACCGCTGGAACATTTTAAGGAGGGCGTTAATCGTAGACAGGCTGCTCTCCAGTTATTGCCATGCTACCAACCCATGCCATCCCTCCAAACTTCAACCCCGGCACTAAAGCCAAAATTCGGTAACACAGACCCGGCATGAGCCCATGAGGCATGCACTTACTTGCAGGAGCAGACATATTTACAGGTTCATCAGTATATGCAGGTTCTCCAGGGCCACACTTATTTCGAGCGCAGACTTTGAATAGATATTCCTTTCCTTGAACAAGATCAGGAACTGTGAATTCTAGATCGGTCACGAAGTCCATAACCTGGGACAAAGAAACAGTTAATTGATTATCTTCCCCGAGTATTTCCTTAAGTCAAAAGACTTTTTTTTAAAAAATCATGAATACAAAAACCCACTATTAATTTTTTAAGACTGGGACTTTCTATGTAGCCCAGGCTGCCCTGGAATCTATTACTGTTTAGTTCCGGTTGGCTCTAAATCCACAGTCCTGCCTCAGTTTCCATAAGCATGTGCCACTACACCCTTCTTACTCTAAAGTTGTTTTGCATTAAAGCTTAGTGTTATTCTCATACTATTTTTGTATTAGGAAAAAACAGCAAGGTGTGTTATAATAATAATTGGCCTTAAATACAATGAGAAATAGATTCCTAGTTTGTGTGCATTAAAAAGATGGTAGTTTGTTTATTAGAAATTTAATTTTAAATGAGAGTATACTGGGCTGGGGGCAAACTCATTGATGTAGTTGCTGTTTAGCATGTGAATCTAAGTTTTATTTCTAGTACTGCAAAATGTGTGTGTGCACACGCGCATAGATACATGGAATACACACGCACGCACACGCACATATAACCAGCATAAAGGAAGAGAACATGGCAGATCAGGTCAACTAAGGTAAATCAAGTGCAGTGATGAAAAAACCATGAACACTGAGACAAAAAATACTTGCTTTGAAATGGCTTATAGCTCAGTGTGCGCCTGTGGGTACTCACTAGATACCAAGTGTGGAGGTAAGCTTTCTTTCATGTGTTAAAGGTGCCTAGCTGAAAACAAAACGGGACAACTGTACCAAACCCTGGCTAAATTACCCAAGGAACAGTCCAAAGGTTTCGAGGCTTTGTCACGAGACTAAGGTAAACTGAGCCCATCTGCCTGGCCTCCCCGCCTCCTCCTGGAATCCCCTTCATTCTCTCTTCTAAAATTGCTGCGTTACTATGCGACACTCACTTTAGTCCACGTTTTCCGGCTCATGTCTCTCTTTTCAATGACATATCCAGTTAGCGGGCTTCCTCCGTCATCGTCGGGTGGTTCCCAAGTCAAGTGCACAGAATCCTTTGTTACATCGCTAAATTTCAGTTCTTTGGGTGCGCTTGGGGGAGCTAGTAAGAAAAGGCAGTGAGAGGTATTATGATTGAGGTCAATATGTATTAAAGCAGTCAAATCACATTAGATAGCAGAAGTTTAATTCCTTACCGATCACATTGACATCAATTTCTCCAGAAATTGACTTCACAGGATTTTCTAATGTGAGTGTGTAAATACCCTTGTCTGGCCGTTCACTCGGAGAAATAACGAGTTCGGCATAGGCAGATATGGTCTTCATTTTCACACGGTCCCCCTCTTCTAGGACTTGATCTCCAAAAGTCCAGGTTGCCTTTGGTCTTGGGTAGCCCGTGCTTGGAACCAGGATCTTGATGGGATTTGGGACGATAACTTCCAGACCATCTTTGAATGCACTCAAATCCATTGTTGGTTCAACTACCAAGAAGAAAAAAGCCGTGAATTTCTAGCACCATATGTATGTCTCTGGTACACCTAAGAAGGTATGGGCTATTCCCTAATCTAGAAAGTAAAATATCTTTTTACCAAAGGCATCATCAGCGGTGAGAGGACCAAGGATCTCAGATGGATCTGAAACACCAGCTGCATTTTCTGCAGATACTCTATATAAATATTTATTCCCTTTATGCAATCCAGTGACCTAAAATTACAAGTTAGTATTTGTTAACATCATATTCATTTAAGCCCATGAACATATATATGTTATGATATATGTGATATTTTATAATTATATATATATAATATAGAATGTATATACATATATAATACACACATATATTTTTTAAGATGCAAACTGCTTACTTTGTAAGTCAGTTCAGGGACAGGTTTCATATTGCAGCGAATCCAATTGTCTTTCCCTTCCTCACATCTTTCAATTATATACCCCAATATTGGGCTGCCCCCATCTTTCAGAGGAGGCTCCCATGTGAGCTGAACTGATGATTGTGTCTGTTCCGAGGAACTGAGGTTCACAGGAGGACTTGGTCTCTCTGGAATGGCAGAAAAATTAGGGACATATAATTTCATTGAGTGACAATTTCTCAAGACATGGAATGATCCTAACAATGTCATCAGAACAACTCTGTGGGCCATGTGGGCACAGTCTTGGCTTTTACAGTTTTGTTCTTTTATTATATTTTATTTGATCAGAAGCATCTGAATTCACAGATTTAATTCTTTGGTTTCATGTGGTGTTTATTTCCTTTTTAAGTATTGCTATGATCTTACTTACCTATTGGATCAGCAACTTTGACAAAGGGTGTGGCTGTACTTGGTTTCCCAACTCCGATTCGGTTCTGGGCTCTGACCCGGAAGCTGTACTCCTGTCCTTCAACCACATCGGTGACTGTTGCTGACAGGTCCTCAGCCCTTACGGTCATGGCAGTGTCCCACCTGATAGAAGTCTTGTCCCTCAGTTCAATCACATAGTTTGTGATTTCAGCACCTCCATCATACTCTGGTGGCTCCCACGTCAGCGAGACACCAAATCTATTCACGTCGGTGATGGTGACATTCAAAGGAGGACCTGGAACATCTGGATGTTATCACAGAAGAAGCACACGTGAATTCGGGTTATGTTGGGGAGAAACAAAAAATTAAGCTAGTTGGCAGTTTACTTAACTACTTCTTACCATATTTACTCCTGGCTTCCACAGGATTGTCGGTTTCTACTGGTTCTCCAGTGCCAACTCTGTTCCTTGCGCTCACACGGAACAGGTACTCCACTCCTCCCTTCTGTAGGCCGGTGACAGTAAACTCACAGCTATCTGCTCGGTCAGTGACCAGCACCCAGGTCTTCCTCTTGATATCACGCCTTTCAACAACATAACCTATGATTTTGCTTCCACCGTCTGTTAATGGTTCTTCCCAAGCGAGGCTGACTTCACCATCAAATGTTTCGGTCACTTCTAGGTTACGAACTGGCCCAGGAACATCTGCAATGTACAAATCATAGACTGTTTAGTGGTACTACACCTTTAAGCTGCACTACGCCAATCAAGTTTGAGTGACTTGGCAGCTTACCAATAACTTGTAAGTTGATGAAGCCTTCTGCTTTCCCATGCTTGTTCTGAAGCACGATTTTGTACCTCCCCTTGTCCTCCTTTTTGGCTTCCAAGATTCTGAAAGAAGTCTGCTCAGCTGTAGTGTCCACAGTTTTTGTAGACAGAGGTTCGTTTTCTTTAAACCACTCAGCTTCTGCTTTGGGGTAGGCGTCGTAGGGCACGACCATGGTCAGGGGTTGCCCGGCATCAACCACGAGATCCTGATCAGCTGTCTTGATTTTAGGTGCAGCTAGCGAGAAAGAGAACATGCAAACATATTTGAGTTATATATTGTAGTCATGCTATGGCATAGTTTTTTTTAAACTATACATTGATTAATATCAGAATCTTGGAAGTATGCTACAGTCATTTTATAGCAGAGAACGCTGTTGGAGGATTATACTAATTCTTCCCTATTCCAAACCATCAGCCTTGGGGAAAAAAGATTGTTGGAGATGGCATAATGAAGATTAACATCCAGTCTTCATTAAAAATAGTAACAGAGGACCGAGAATACAGTGAAGTGGGTTTTGCTCTTGTTGTCGAAACTATTTAATAAAATCAGTTTTTGATAAATCAGACACTTTTTCCTTGTATACAGGATATACCAATAGGTTGTTTTGAGAACAACCTATGTAGGTATCTTGGGTCAAGATGAGAGTTATCTAAAAGATACACAGCAGCAGAGTGAGGGATTGTCGTTAGTTCTATGAATTCATGGGCAGCTGCCATGTGCCAGGAATAATCCTATGGTATAATATGAATGCCATTAACGTCCTCTCTAGAATAAGAGAAAGTAGAGTATCTAACATGATGTGGGCTTGAAAACCATAGGCTTTCACAAGAAGCATTTTGCTATAACTGTAAAATCTGAAGTCTATGTAAGATCTGTGATTTCATCAGACCATTGCAAAGCAAAAGAAGGCTCCTTACCTGCTAACTCAAGTTTCGCCCTGGCTTCTTTATCTTTGGCAATGAATCTGTATTCGCCTTGGTCACGTGGTTTAATGTCACAAATCTGTAGCCTGTGTATCTTTCCTTCACTCATCATCTGGTGCTTGTCGCCCTGGACAACAACCATGTTATTTCTAAGCCATTGGACCTCCACTTTATCTTTGTTGAGCTCAGCCATAAAGATAACATCGGCACCAGGGGCTTCAAGAATGTCTTGAGGAGGCCTGATAATCTCGACAGGGATTTCTGGAAAGGAAATGTAAAAATAAAAACAGATGATGTATGCTTGTATTTTTATCAGCATCATAAAAAAAAGGTCACTTCAGTCAGAATTACTCTTGAAGCCGATACGCACCTTCCACAAAGAGCCTTGCTCGGGACTTCCTGTCCTCTACGCCACAAGCGTATTCGCACTCATCCTCCAGCCGGCAGTCCTTTATGATGAGCCTGTGTACGCTCCCATCTTTTTCAAATTTGTATCTGAAGAAGAGATTGGATGATTAGTTAGCTTGAGCCACAAGCGCTAGGCTATCAAAGTGCACACAAAAGCAGCGAGCCCCAGCACCGAATGCTTTTGGCATACTTTTTGCCTTCCTTGATTTCTCTTCCATTTCGGTACCATTTTACATTGGCTTTCTCTCTGGAGAGTTGGCAGGAGAAGACTGCGTCATCAAACTCAGTGACCGTCTGGTCTTCTAGGTGCTCCACGAATTCTGTCGGGGCTTCTATGATGAGCAGCTCTGCGACCGATTTGTCTTGTCCAGCCGTGACAATGTATTCACCCTCATCTGGAAACCCGCAGTCCTTGATGATTAGCGAGTGCTTGTACTTATCAATTCGGTATGACACGCGGTTGTCAAAGGGCACTTCTTCTCCATTTTTGGTCCACTTGAGTGTCACATTGAGACGATTCACCTTGCACCAGAAGGTGACTGATTTCTTCTCCATTGTTTCGATATCTTTAAGAGGTTCAATAATCCTAAGATCTTCCTCTGTAGTGATAGAGAACATAATGTTGAATTTAGTTGTTTGCATAATATAAATGGCTGGGAAAAAATGCTCTGGCACCGTCTAGGTCACATACCTTCCACTATTAGATTGGCTGCGCTCTTAACATTCTCCCCTCTGTGGTTAGTCAGCGACACATTGTAGTTGGCTTGGTCATCTAAGCGTGCGTCTCTGATTCTGAGAGTGTAGACCAGGTCCTTTTGGAGGATGATGTATTTTGAACTATCAAATATGGCCTCTTCGTTTCTGAACCACTTGGCTTTGGCACCTTCGGTATTGACTTCACAGTTAAAGACAACCTCTTGCTGTTCTTTCACCGTGGTGTCCTTAAGAGGAACTATGATCTTGAGTTTTTCTGTAAACAACCAATAAGACTTTGTAGCATGTCGAGGGACCAAAACTACAAACCAATCAATCCGAAGAAGCAAGAAGAAACTTACCGATGACAGTCAGGTGAGCCGCAGCTCTGGCAGCCCCAACCATGACCACGTAAGTGCCCATGTCTTGTAGTGTGGCGTCTTTCACAACTAGGACTCTCTTTTTGCCATCAGCGATGACGTCATATTTATCTCCAGACTCAAGAGTCTGATCATCCCTCTTCCACTGAACCTCAAAGCTTTCCTTTGATATAGTGCAGACAAACTCGGCCTTTTCTCCTTCCAGGATTTCAAGGTTTTGAGGCTTTGAGATGAATTCAGCAGCAAGTTCTGGAAAGCAAAACATTGGGAGACATTGAAAACACAGGTGTTTGAATCTTAAGTCCGACAAGAATGATTGACTAGGGAGAGAATGTGCTTCCCTGAGATTTTCCTACCATGTACTTTGACTTTGCCGTCTGTCCGAGAACTTGGGAGTCGACAGTTGTAGCTGCCCGCGTCCTCAAGCTGCGCGTTCTGAATGATCAGGATTCTCTTCCTGCCATCAGTAAGTATCTCAAATCTTCCTGTTTCTATGATCTCCTCATCCCCTTTGTACCAGATCACTTCGGCCCCAGGCTTGGAGACTTCGCACACCAGCTTGATAGTGTCTCCTTCACTAACTTCAAGGTTAGCAAGATTCTTTGTGAAGACGGCTTCTTCCTCTATAGAAAAAGAACCCAAATTCATTCAGTAAAACCGGAAGTGGGTTTTCCAGACTAGTGCATTTAGGCAAAGAAAGCCTTCACACTCACCCAGAACTGTAAGCATGCCGGAAGTTCTTGCCGTCCGCACTTCACAGGAATATTCGGCTTCGTCGTTCAGTAGACATTTGTTGACGACGAGAATTCGTACGGCTCCCTTAGAAATGATGTCATACTTTTTGCCCTTTTTAATTTCAGCACCATCTTTAAACCACTGAACCTGTATTTTAAGGCAAACAGATTTATTTTTTTTAAATCAGTGTTCATGCTGTTCCTTCACATGGTATTCCTAACAGAAACTACGGGAGCTAGGATGCGGAAGAATTTAAAAAAAAATCAGTCTTAAGACATTATAGAATTTATAAAAGAAGACCATAAATACAGTATTATGAAGGACAGATAAAAATATAAATAAAAAAACAAAAAGCAAGAACAAAGTTACTAAGTACTGTTTACCCTTTATGATACTATTATCAAATATGAAAAAATAACAGGATTATGCATGTTTTGAGTCTTAGGGGGCCTTAATCTGCTTTGGAAGCAGACTGAAAGTTAAAGAAATTTGGCAATAAAAATAGTTTATGGCAACCTGAAATACCTAGCTAAGATACAGAATTACTGCTGTTTAATTTTTTTTTTTAATCTTAAAATGATAGCAACTCCAAATGTCTCTAAATGGTAAAATCTCGTCTGAGTTCAGGGTTTTTCTATTGAGTAATACTAAGGAGAATAATTAAGTCAGGTCCATCTTTCATGCTAACATAATCTTTAAAATGGGGAAGGAGGTTCAGAGAAAATATTTAGCTATTTTTTTCTTACTTTCTATTTGGCCAAAAGCAAACAGAGCTTCTTGCTAATCTAAGATAATGGTGTGTAGTTACAGACCTTGGCATTTTCCTTGGAAATTTCACACTCAAACCGAGCCGTTTCTTTTTCTTTAACTTGAAGATCCGTGAGTGGTCTTAGGAATTCCACATGAGGAGCTGTAAGAGAATGACATTGATATTCAAAGGAGGCTCCTGCAAATTAATCCTGATATTTTTCTGGTACACATTAAAAAAAAAAGTGGCTGGCTCTCTCTGGCTCTCTCTCTCTCTCTCTCTCTCTCTCTCTCTCTCTCTCTCTTTCAAGACAAAGTTTCTCTGGCCTTACACTCTGCCTGCCTTTGCCTCCCAAGTGCTGGGCCTCAGGGCTGCACTGCCAACACCCAGTGAGAAAAAGTGACTCTCTTTTGCAGGACTTTTTTTTTTTTTCTTTTCCCATATTAGTAGACTGACACTGACTTTGAAATCGCTTGCAGCTTCCACGGGGGATGATGCCTTGCTTTTGATCTGTCTAGCTCACATACATTTTGTCTTACTGTGCTACCAACTTAGTTCTTTCACACTGAGATCCATCTCAGCTCTTCTGAATGCTTCCTGAAGAAGATGCCTTCTTTCTGTTGGTTCTATACCAGAGTTGAAGGACATTATTTGTCAAAGGAAGCACTAGTAAGGGAAGGAACATCATTCGGAATCCAGTAGAATTCAAAGACAATAGCCCGAATGCCAAGACAACAGTTTGAAGCCCTCCAGTTGGCTTTGTGTATGGCTAATAGACATGAGTCCAGTTGGAACCAGGCACATCCAGCTTTCCAGTTTTGACTCAGCTTTAAAGATTTCCCATGCAAGTCAGGCATGTATTTGTACGACAAACACTGTGTTCTACAGGGGGCGCTGATTTGGCTTTTATGCCTGCTGGTTCAGGCATCTCCAGACACGGGACTTCTGCTCTGCGGGATGGAGCAAGCTGCCTCTTTTCCCTTCCATCTTTCAGTGCTCCTTATAAGGCCTTCCCAAGTCGACCCTTCTTGGTCATGGGGTTCTGAGACCAACGCTAGCTGATAGGCTTGACGATAAGCCACCATGGCTGAGCCTTCACCAAGAGGAAGTAGATGTCAAGGGGAAGAAACCCCATGGGGCTACTCTGAGGTAAGTTAACTGAAGCGTGGAAAGAGTGCATGGCACAAGATGCTGGGAGCACAGTCAAAGCCACTAGGTTTTAGTTGTTGACAGATGAGAAGCAACATAGCCACACAAGTATTGCACAAAAATATCCCATGAAAAATGCTTTGCTGGACAAATGAATCAACAAAGCGAATGAGCTAGCTAGCAGTGGACATACCGAGATAAAGGCTTATTTCTGCACCAGGGGAAGAAGCAATAGCAAAAATGACAAAGTGCTTCATTCAAAGAATCCAGGACTCAAAGAACCTGGGCCTCATTCAGCTTCTCTTCCATCCTTATTCTCAGACTGGATTATGTGATAGGGCATTGACACATTAGAGCTGTTCTCAAGTATGTTTGTTCCCGTTCAAGCAAACTTTCATTCTCATTTTTAAGATATTCTCCAGGCCTGAAAACTTATCTTCCTTCCAAATAGAGTCACGGTTCTGCACTTCCCTTTGTGTTAAAGGTTATTTTCATCTCTAGCAGGATATTCAAATAGTGGGATTAACCGCATACAGACAAAAGAGCACAGCAGCACAGTGAACAGTGGTCGGCGTCTTTCCCAAGACCAGACAGAGCACAAGAAGGTTTGTAAAGATACGTGTGAAGTATCAGGTTAGGTCAAGAATTATGATTAGGCCAAGAAGGGCATGCATAAAGTGTCTTGATGTTTTGGCTACAAAGAGTTACAAAGGCCAAGTCCTGAGGAGGAGTACTTACGAACAACATTCAGGTTACAGGAAGTCTTAAAGTCCTTAGCGTCGCAAGTGTACGTCTTGATATCCTCTGGGGTACAGCCATGTATAATGAGCTTCCTGATCCTGCCATCAGCGACGATTTCGTATTTCTTGCTCTTGAGGATTTCTGTGCCATTTTTGAACCATTTCACCTTGGCGTTCTCTCTGGACACTTCACACTCCAGCACTGCAGTGGCCTCCTCTTCGACCGTCTGGTCTTCAAGGGGTTTAGTGAACTCAACTGGGGGTTCTGAAAGAATCCAACTTATTAGCTGCTTCCCTTCTCCAAGAGTTCCAGAACTTTCTCTACTTTTCTCTGGCATCTCTGGGGCTGCTTCTGCTCCAAGTTTACTCACTTGCCAAACTATTTTTCATTTAGATGTTTTCCTTAAATACTGTTGCTTTATCATTATTCATACACATAGAGAAAAAAAAAACCTTTCTATGTTTTTTCCCCTTCCCCCCTGCCCTGGCCAGTCTGGAAACTCATTTTGTAGACCAGGCTGGTTTCAAACTTGAGACAATCCTTCTGCCTCTGCCTCTTGAGGGTTAGGCTTACAAGAAAAATAAGTATAAAACATAAAGGAAATAATGGCCAACATTTTCATAAAATGGGCTGATAATAATTATTTCACCAGTTGTTTTTGAAACTAGTTAAAAAAGAACCAATAATAACATAGGGACAGAAAGAGTATGTAAAACCCATGTTAATTTTGATTTTTTTTCTTCTGAGACAGGTTTTCTCTGTGTAGCCCTGACTGTCCTGGAATTCACACTGTAGACCAGGCTGGCTTTGAACTCACAGAGATCTGGATGTCTCTGCCTCCTGAGTGCTGGCCTTGAAGGTGTATACACTGCCTCACCATTAAAAAAAAAAACAACCTATATTTTGTTATGCGAAAATGTAAATTAGACTTTTGGATCCTTGATTTTAATGATCTGCGGTGCTCTTGCACAGCAATTAGGCGGATGCATTATTTATGATTCTGCTCACGGTGTGTGCACTTAGGGATGATTTTTGAAATTACCTTTCACAAAGAGGTTGGCCTGAGTTTTGAAGTCCTTGGCCATCAGCTGGACCTCTCCTGCGTCTTCCAGCTTCACGTCCCTCAGGGTGAGCGTGTGAACTCTTCCTTCCGAACGGGTCACCACCTAGGTGAGTTTGCAAAGAGTGCGGGAGACAGAGAGATGAAACAGCCGCCTAGAACGCAGGTCCTTTAACTCATCTGGATAAACTATGTAAGAGTGTTACCCACATTGGTTTATGATCATATATGTTGAATATATATTTATCTTAAAATGACTTCAGCCAATAGTTTCAAAACTTCTAGAAATATTTTTAGGATTTTTTTTAGTTACCATTATATAAATAAGAGGTGATTTTAGGGCCATTTTTAGCATTTCTTTGTTATCATTCTATAAATACAGGGTGGCTTTTTATGTTGAACTTGCACAGAGCAATTTCTATTTACATTTCTGATCCTGTGAAAAATACATGTAATTATGAATATGTATGCATTTCTGTTTTGCTTCAGGCTTGTGTGTAGAAAAGAATTTAGAGAAGCTCAAAACAAAAGAAAAATGATTGGTTATTGTAATCTGAAAGTAGATTTTTTTTTTCCTGAAAGAAAACTGTATGTTTTAAAGGGAAGGTAATGATCATATAAATACAAGCAGAACTCTTCTCTCATTTATTTTAGTAATTCAATTTACTTTGCTTTATTTATTTATTTATTTGTTTGTTTGTTTTGGTTTTTCGAGATCGGGTTTCTCTGTAGCTTTGGAGCCTGTCCTGGTAGACCAGGTTGGCCCCAAAGTCACAGAGATCTGCCTGCCCCTGCCTCCCAAGTGGGGATTAAAGATGTGCACCACCACCACCTCCTGGCTTCAATTTACTTTGCAAATGAATGGAATCCATGACTAATTTGTACAATTTCTGAATTTTGTTAACAAATTTTTTTGATGTTGACTCGTCTGTCTTCCTGCGTTTGAAAATCAGTAATGGGAAAATCAGACATCCCTGGTGCTGTTAGAGGTAAAGATTGGGGTTCTAGAACCTAAGGTTCCTCAAAAGCTCCGCTCTGTAGTTGAGATTGGCTTTAGCACATAATTGTCTACTTAGAGTTAAGAATCGTAACTGTTTTCTGGTGAAACTATTTGTATATATTTAGCTAGGGGTAGAAGAAAGAAACAGGAATACAGTTTCACTGAAACATTTTCTTCAAATAAGAACATGTTATAGTTATTCATCTAACTGCTTTTAATATTGAGAACACCTGAAACAATAAGGCACATACACAGCGGGGGAAACAGTAGTTAAGATTGACCCTAGGAGCATAGCTGCTACTTACCTGGGAGGTGGGGTCTGGATGGGACTTTTAAAACAATGTCTATGAATTTTGAACTTTGACTTATGGCCACTTAAAAGGAATTCGGCTTCTAACACATGCACCATTATATAGTATCTATCAATACATCGATTTGCCATCTGAGTTATTCTGAAAAGTCTGTAGGATATTCTCTGTCACTGAATATATCGCCCAGAAAGTAGTGAGTTTTCAATAAATGGCTTATGTAGACCATAGTCAATAGTTTGACTGTATTCAAATAGAAAGGAAATACAATAGATAGAAAAACAAATCAATGAAATGAATGCCAAATATTTTTGGTAAACCATGTAATGATAACATTAAGAGTCATCCTTTGTTGATATAACGAGGTATACTGATGGAACACAGAAGGCACCACCAAACTGTTAAAATTTAAATACAAAATTATCAAAAGCCTCTGAGAGAATTTGGCTGTTTTCACTTGGCCAAAGGGGATAAAAACCAAAAATGAAAGAAAAATAAAGTTTATTTCCAAAATGTTGCCTTCCAGTTTCTGATGTCTATAAGTTGTTTTGTGTGACTGTTGATGTAGAGATTAAAGATTTTTACAAAAAGTGTAGATAAAAAGGCCTGAGTTAACATGATAAGAACAGTTTGTGCTAATAAACCTAATTTAAACAAAACCTCTAAACTGTAGTAAGTGAACAAGCAACTTTGCAGCTCGTCCTTAATTTTTTTTTGGAAAGAGACACTTAAGAGGTACAAGATCTTGGAAACAGACATGGGGGTGGGGGGAAGAGAGGGTAGAAGGGGTAGAGGAGGGGAGAAGGGGAGGGTTGAGGAGAACGTGAGGGAATGGGATAGTCGAGATGGAGGGAATACAGAGATGAGAGCGAGGAAAGAGATATCTTGATTGAGGAGCCATTATAAAGTTAGCAGAAACCTGACTCTAGAGAAATTCCCTGGAATCCACAAGGATGACCCCGCCTAAGAACCCAAGCAAAAGACTAGAGGGGGCCTGATCTTGACTTGCCCTGCAGTCAGACTGATGATTATTTTAAATATCTTAAATAGAACCTTCATCCAACAACAGACGGAAACAGAGGCAGAGTTCCACACATCAGAGCACTGGACTGAGCTCCCAAGGTCCAGTTGAAGAGTGGGAGGAGTGAGGATATGAGCAAAGAAGTCAAGACAATAAAGGGTTCATCTACTGAAACTGTTTACCTGAGCTAATAGGAGCTCACCAACTCCACCCGGACAGGGAAGGAACAAGCATAGGACCACACTAGTCCCTCTGAATGTGACTGACAGTTGTATGGCTGGAGCAGACTGAGGGCCCACTGGCAGTAGCATCAGGATTTATCCCTACTGCTTGTACTGGCTTTTTGGGATTCTATTCTCTTTGGATAGATACCTTGCTCAGCCTGGATGTAGTAGGGAGGGCCTTGGGCCTTCCACAAAGCAATGTGCCTTACCCTCTCTTAGGGGGTGGGTGGAAGGGTGTGTGGAGGGAATGGGAGGAGGGAAGGAGTGGGAATTTGGATTGGTATTTTTTTTTAAAAAAAAAATCTAATAAATTAAAAAAAAGAAAGAAAAAAAAGAAAAGAAAAAAAAAGATAGGAGATCACATTCGCAGAAGGATTAGTTTTGGAAGGCTCCCTGTGGGATTAACATTCCTACAGGCAGGGACAATTCAGCAGCCCTCTGGCTCTGGTGGACCCACCCTTCCTAACCCTAGGAAAAAATGTAATATGATAATAGATTTTGCCCTTGGAGTAAAGCAGATGCAAGATTTTAGGAATCTACATTTTAAGTCAAAATCGCAGAGTTTTTGTGTTTGAATGGATAGTCATCTGTCCTTTTTTTTCCCCCAATATAAAGCTCCTAGTTTAATCACCAAATAAGAAAAAGAAATACGCTGCACTGAATAGGGAAAAAAAAAGAGATGTACATATTAAACCAAGAAATTTGAGTTGAACCCAGCACCTGGTTTGGTATCTAGAAGACTTTGCTATAAAAAAAAAGTTTTTTGGTGTGAAATGCTACAGTTGGAAGGTTCTGTCGCCTTTTCTCGTTGGTAACAATAGAAACCAAAGGTCTTGGTCCACTGAGTGCTGGGCAGAACTCACCTACCAGATGACTGTTACCGAGTTAATCATTACTCATTTAGTTGAACGCTAGTTTTTAAAATCTATTTCCAACCATCTACATGAAGGCAATGTCCTCTAGTCCTTCAGCCTCTGTGAAACTAAGTCCCCTTCCAATGATATCTTTTTCAGTCTTCAAATTTTGATTTGAATAAAAATTTTACAGATGGTCAGTATTATTTCTGGAATATTGGGCAAGGCAAAAGCCGCAGAACAATGAAATGTCCTGTATTTTTTCTATATTTTATTTTTAAGAATTCAAAATGCAGGAATTATCAAGCTAATGTGAGTATCACTTCTACACTAAAGGGATTGCATAAGTTTAATTTTCTGATCCGGGCAGAAGCCCAGGAGTTACAGAAATACACAGATCAATTTAGGCCTATCTGAATAAATGGCTCAGTTTTCACTTTGGGGTTGAATGTTGAACCTCAGGAATGAATGTTAGCCAAAACTAAGGTAGTTTACCCAAACTTCTCAAAAGTTTATTCATTTACACACAGGGATCCCTACAACGCCGCCCCCCCCCCCCCATTTCGCCAGCTGCACTTTAAATGGTCCTCTGGCATTCCAGAGTTTGCGCAGCCTAAAACACTTGAGCGTTAAAAATAGCCTTAGGGAAACGCTAGAAGAGAAAATCTGCCCAGAAGTTATCTCTCCAACTCTATCAACTGCCCAAAATGGAGTTCCAGTCTCCTCTCAATCCGTTTCTACCCAGAACATCAGATAACACAGGAACAACCTGTGTGCACAGCTGCAGCTGAGACCTTGGTTAGGAAGCCCCTCCGCTCTGTTCTTGCTTTCCACCACTCCTACGAGCTAGCCCTGATGGCTACTGAACATTTGCCTCCTTTTCTTCCTTCCCGAAAAAACTACCACCTGATCATATTTAAAATTGTTATTCCTATTTTAGTAAGACACTATCATCAGGTTAAACGTACGTAATCTGAAAACTCTCATCTTACAGTTCCAGCAGAAATCAAGTTAAAGGACAAAAGCTCTGGAGGGGAGGGGCCTTAGCAAGGACAAAGCGAAGGACAATGGAAGTGATCCCAAGGGAGAAAGGCAAAGCAGCAACTGGTGGCCCGCTTTTTACCTTATCATCAGGCTCCAGTTTCTTCCCTTTGAGGTACCATTCCACTGGGATATCCTCATAAGACAGTTCGCAGTCAAAGGTGGCTGTTTCCCCTGCGGTCACTGTGACGTCCTTCAGAGGCCTCAGAAGACCGATTATCCGTGCTTTGCGAGAGGGAAGGAAATGCCTTGTGTTATTCATTCTGAAATTTCCCAAGGATAAACAGATTTAATTCTTCATTTCTATGATGGTTTTCTTCATGAAGGAAAGAGCCACAAGTCTGGCTGCTGCTTTAACTCCCATGTGGACGTGGCCCCGTGGTGCCGAGAAGGGGAGAGAAGGCAACCAAAGAGCTGGTGTTTGTAGGAGCCGCCTCTCCAGGATATACAAGGTCAGCAAGAAATCTGGGCTGCATCTGTCTCTCTGCCAGGCGTCAAGTTCCTCCTGCTACATAAGGTATGTGACCTCCAAAATAACTAAGGCTCTGATTGGGAGAGACAAGGGGTCCCCGGCCCCACAGCCTGTCCATGTCCATCAGCCACTTCGCACCTTCCAAAAATGGGAACCTAACTTTTCTGCCTCCCTTCTTGAGCTGAAAATGCCCACACAGCAAAGGTCTTCTCTCTAGGGTTACTGTTGGATAGTCACTTGAGAGATACAGGTTTTTAAAGAATTTTTAATTCTTAGTTCTTACTCTATGTTTATTGATTTTGAATGAAAGGACTGCAACAGCAGAAAAATCCAACTTTAATTTGTCATTGATGTTCAAATGACAAAGTCACTGAAAATATCAAGAGTTTAGAAATCTGAACGACTTTTATATCAGGAGGTAAAAAAATAAATAGGAAAGCCAGTTTTTACACACAAATAGTATTTTCCAATCCCAGTTAAGTTCACATTCATTCTCTGAGTAAACTTTCTCTTTCTTTTTCCTTTCCTTTTTTTCCTTCCTTCCTTCCTTCCATTTTATCAAAAACATGTAATACTTACGCTTAACTCGGAGGTGGGCGCTAGATTTGACATTGGCAGCTTGGAAATCTACACCACCAGTCTGGTCCAGGCGGCAGTTGTGTAAGATTAGAAAATGTATCTTGCCTTCTTCTTTAATTTCACACTCCTGTGCCAATGGAAAGAAAGTGTTTCACAGCGAGTAATGTTGAGACTTTTTTCATAGGTATATAATGTAATTTATAAAAAGGTGCTACAAATGAATGGTTATACATACACTTCATGTATGAAATACAGCCCCCTGGTACTACCAGAAGTGTTTCTTTTAGCTGTGTGATTCTGAACTAGGAGCGTTATAGGCTACATCTAACTTACACAGTGCTGGGCAAGAATCAATGTACAAGTGACCTTCCTAGTCCATTCACAGACCCCAACGTCTCTCTTTGGCCACAGGCCCCATATGAACTTAATTCCACGTTTCAAATGCCCCACAGGCACCCTGACTTTTTGCCTGTCCTTTTCCATTTCACACTATCCCTCTTCAGTGCTGACAGGTTCAGAAATAGCCGTACAGGTGTTTGGAGCAGCGCCTCTCCCTTGAGTTTCCAGTTGGCATGGATATCATCTTCAGAGATCTCGGTTTCAAAGCGTGCTGTCTCGGTCTCCATCACCTCGACACTGTACAGGGGTCTCACCAGTTTAATCTCCCGATCTGGAAGAAATGAAGGGTCAGCATGTGCCATGAGTCTCTGGCAGAGAAGACACCCATGGCGACTACAGGGAGACTCATGGAAATGTCCTCACCTTCAATGTCGAGCTTTCCAGAGGTCTGGTCTGTCCCACAGTCACAGGTATACTGGCCAATGTCGGATTTCAAGGCTTTCTTGAGGATCAGCATCCGCTTCTTGCCGTCAGCCTTAATAACAACATTTTTAGACGGCTTTATTTCCTTCCCGTCCTTAAACCATTTCACAGGTGCATCCGCTTTGCTGATTTCACACTGAAGAACCACTTCATCCTTCTCCACGCCCGTGTAATCCTGAAGCTTTCCTGTGAAGTATGGGTCTCCCTCTGCAGGTGAAGAGAAGTGGAGAACCGTCACCCACCTACAGAGCTGGCGATCCCTGGGCAGGTGTAATGGTACCCCAAAGAGTTCCAAGTGTGCTTTACAGCCGTACCCCACTGTCCATCAACTAGCATCTTTAGTTTCTAAATGTTAGGAAGAGAATCAGCGCACAGGAGTTATGGTTCAAAATCATCTGCTTAGACTTTTAAAAAATTACCAATCGCTTAAAGGACACACACAGTTTGGCTTTGGAGGATGTTCCTTTGCCATTTGTCTAGTTTTTCAAATTCTTAGTCACTCTTATCAGGTCTTGAAGCTTTGTAGCATTCCCATTCCCCAATCTATCAATAGTTTGTCATGAGCGTATCTCGATATATTAGCTGTCATAAGTGGATATTCTTATAGAAAGGACCAAGGAGAACAATGAGCTTTACTAAATTCTTTTTGCCTCTCTCTGTAGAAACATGAAAGGCTACTATTCTGAAATAATTTTGATAGCAGAAAGTACTTATGCATTCTTATTTTGCGTGACAAGCCAGATTTAATCTGGTTTTGGCTATTTTATGGGCCTAAGAGAGTGATGATCATCTTTTTTGCTCTGTAGTTCAGAAATATACTTGGCAATGCATGTGGTGGTTTCTTAGGTGCATCTCCATGCAGTATTACACTCAGAAGACCATTTTATATCACACACACACACACACACACACACACACTCACTCACACACTCACTCACACACTCTCCATACTTTGTCTGTTGAATTCAGTGTGATATAATCCAGTTTTTAAAAATGCCTACCTAGCACGGTGAGTTTGGCTTCTGAACTTATTCCCATCGCCTCCACTTTAATTTGGGAGGTGTCGTCAATTATCAGATCTTTGAATGTGATGGAGTGTATTTTCCCTTCGTCGTGCATGGAGACTCGCTTGCTGGTGTGAAGGCGTTGATCATTCTTAAACCAGCTCACTGGGATGTTGTCATGGGACAGCTCTACAGTGAACACAGCATTTTCCCTCTCTTTGGCTGTCACGTCCTTGAGTGGGGTAAGGAATTTGAGGCGGATTCCTGTCAAAGAAAACACAGCCAATTACTTCCACCACTTTAACAAGGAAACGTAAAATTAAATGCAAAAAAATATAATTCTATAGGCACCTATACCACCACCACAAACAATTTACCTTCAATGATCAGTTTGCCACTGGTATGTTTATCCTCAGCTTCAAACATGTACTTGGCTTCATCTTCAAAAGCGGCTGACTTGATCACCAGGGAATGCCTGGTGCCATCCTTGATGAGTTCAAACCTGTCATCACCTGTGATCTCCTGGGTTCCTTTGAGCCAGCGGAAGGTTTTGGGCTCCCTGGATACCTCACACTCAAATTTAGCCTCGTCTTTCTCGAAGACTTTGACGTCGCTGAGAGGCGTGATGAAAATGAGCGGCAATTCTGAAAGAGAAGCCGGAGCAGAGCCCGTCAGAGCCTGCTGCTTTCACCCCCGCCCGCTCTGTTTCCGAGTGGGGAAGCTTGCACGGAAAATGTTAGAGAGTCCGTGTAGAGAGCGTACCTTTCACTTTCAGATTGGCTGCCGATTTAGCATTGGCAGCCTGGAAGGAAACCTCCCCGGTCATATCCAGCTGGCAGTTATAAAGAACCAGGACATGTTTCTTCCCGTCCTCGATGATTTCACAGTCCTAGGGAGGGTGATCATAGACAGTGTTTACATATACAGGACTTCCTGCAAGTCACCAAGGAACTGTACTTCGGGGGCGTGGGGGACCTAAGAAAAAATATCCAAACAAACAACCCGCTGCTATCTGTGTGACTCTGCCGGGGTCACTTACAGGAGAAGCAGTCAAAGGTTCGCCCTTTAGCTTCCACTGGCCGTGCACGTCAGGCTCAGACAGCTCGATTTCAAAGCGGGCTGTTTCTCCTACGAACACCTCCACGCCATACAGAGGCTTTTCCACTTTTATGAGTCGAGCTGAAAGCGTACAAGGTTCTGTGAGTTGGACTGAGCCCTAATGCATTGAATCTCTGCGATGGGATAATCTAAACTCGGGGGTAACTCACCCTCCACAGTGACGTTGGCCTTGGTGGTGTCCGTGCCACAGTCGCACACGTATTCGCCTTTATCTTTAAGCTCTGCTTTCTTGATCTTCAAAATGCGGCGCAGGCCATCAGTCTTGACCGAATGTTTGGGCGAAGGCACGATCTCTTCCCCGTCTTTGAACCACTTCACGGGCACGTCTTTGCTCACTTGGCACTTCAGGATAATCTCATCCTTCTCAACACCAGTCTTGTCGTGTAACTTCACCGTGAAGTAGGGGTCGGCCTCTGCCGGAGACACCCAGCACATGGTCAGAAAAATATGTGGCGGCCGAAGCCCATTAAACAACCCCGGGGTGATACGATACATTCCTACCCATCCGCGAGCTGGTCCCACTTACCCAAGACCTTCAGATTGGCTGTGGAGCTGAGGTTCTTCACTTGCGCTTTGATCTGTGAGATGTCATCCATTGTCACCTCTCTCATTTCCAGTTTGTACGTCTTTCCTTCAGAAGACATGAGCACCGTCCTGGTGGTGTGCAGCTTGACATCGTTTTTGAACCAGACCACGTGCATTTTTTCATGAGACAGCTCACAAACAAAAGTTGCTGTCTCGCCTTCTTTTACAGTTTGATCTTCCAGAGGGGATATGAACTTTAGTCTTATGCCTACGGGGCAAGCAGGCAACACATTCAGGAACACAGGGAACAGACAGAGAGTTCTGACTCTACCTACTGTGCGCGTAAAACGCAGCTACCTCATGGGGCATTTATTTGTTCTTTTCAGATGGGGTTATTCTTCATTTTAAAAGATAAGTGCTTTGGGGGGGTGGTTTAGTGTGTGTGTGTGTGTGTGCGTGTGTGTGTGTGTATGTGTGTGCGTGTGTGTGTGCGTGCGTGTGTGTGTATGTGTGTGCGTGTGTGTGTATGTGTGCGTGCGTGTGTGTGTGTGTGTGTTCTATGACACTGGAAGAGAAGTAGTAGTGACCCCTGCCATTAATTGCTAGCTCTTGGAATTTGGTATGCTGTCTTTAAATGGACCAGAAAACCAAATGAGGACACCTACATACTGGATATAACGTTTCGATATCATCGCTGGGCTGTTACCTGTCACAAACAACTGTGCAGACGTCTTCTTGCCCTCTACCTCGGCAGTGTAGACCCCTTCATCATCAAACTGAGAATCATTGATGACAAGAATGTGTTTTTTCCCATCAGCAATGATATCGAATTTATCAGATGCCTTGATTATATCAGGCCCTTTAGACCATATGACATTTGCCTCTCGGGTCAGGACACACTCAAACCGAGCCTGTCGCTTCTCTGGGACGGTCACATCTTTCAGGGGTACAGCAAAGTCAAGTTCAATTTCTGCAAATCAAATAGTAAGGAAGACAATGAGGCATTCGTTCCAGATGCAGAGGAAGGGGAAACAAAGCTGAGCCCACTCCTTAGCTCTAACGCCCTGTACCTTTGACTGTCAAAATGGCAGTTGTGACGGCGTTGCAAGCCTGGTAGAGGACTTCACCAGCTTGGTCCAGTTTTACTTTGTGCAAAGTTAAGAAGCGCTTTCCGCCTTCGGCTTTGATTTCACAAGTCTTAAAAAAAAACAAAAAACAAACAAACAAACAAAAAAAATGGCAACTTTCATTGGTATTTGTCCCAGAGAATATTTCCGAAAGAGATTTCCACAGAGTGTCAAACAATACACTAATAAACATATAAGCAAAGCACGACCATTAGAAAAATTTACCAGATTTTAGCCACGCTGTCCACAAAGAATGCATTAAATAATTTCCCTCCTTTGAGAAACCCACGTTCACGGTTAGCAAATGAAGCCTGCATAGCCAACGTCAATGAGGCGCTGGTCATGTCACATGACTGGCAGCTTCCAAGGGGAGGTACTCACAGGCGAGGGCCTCAGAAGTTCTCCCTTCAGCTTCCACTCCCCAGGTATGTCTGCCTCGGAGATTTCGGCATCAAAGCTGGCACTTTCCTTCTCGTAAATGGTGACATCTTCTATTGGCTTAAGCAGCTCAACGTCACGCTCTGGATCAGCCAGAGGGAAATAACAGTGCTTTAGACAACCCAGTCATACGTCGCTTTTTAAAAGTAAGAATTTTATACGTACGCACATGCGTGTAATATGTTTTGATCAAACCCACCGCGTTTCCTCCCTCCCCTCCAGCTCTTCTCTGATCCACTCCTTTTCCCTCCCAACAGCATGTGATCACTTTTTAAGACCCCAAAACCAAAACCACTGAGTCTACCTACCGCTATCTCCCTGTGCCTGGGTGTAGGCTCATTTACTAGTTAATTCTTGTATTTTTTGGGTGTGGGGGGGTGATGCTTTGCTTTATGCATGCACAGAATTATCTTTCAGAGTAACAGGTAAGATCCTTCTACCTCCAAGGGTCAGCCTCGCCGGGTATCTTTTCCCTTCGATCTCGATCGCGTACTCATCAATATCTTCGGGCATGGCATTCTTAATTTTGAGAATGAGGTGGTTCCCCTCTTTCAGTATCTCAGTCTTTTCATTTGCTTCCATGGGGATCTCATCGTAGCCTTTGAACCACTTAAAGTTTGGTGTGTCCTTGGCGATGTCACAGGTGAAAACAGCTGTCCCCTTGGGCTTCACGTGCTGGTCTCGGATAGGTTTCACCAGCCATTCTCTGATGATTTCTGTTGGAAACACAGGGAGAAAGAAGAAATCACTTCTCTGGGAAACTTCAGGGATAGGAAAAATTCATGAACCTGGATGTGATCAATTTGTGAGATGCTAATATTCCTCCCTTTAAATAAGGTATCAATGAGGTTTCTGATATTTAGACATTGGGAAATAAGTTATTCAGTTTTCTTATCATAAAAAGAAGAAGTTTATGCCAAAAAACTAACATAATTATATATTAGTAAGTTACTATATACATTATATACTACATATACTATATATTTATATATTACCATACATATCTTTGAACTTCGTTGCTATTTTTTAAAAAAATAAAATATATCTTTGATATATATGTATTATAATACATATATTAGCTATAAGTCTCATTTTGTGGCCTTCACTGGTCTCAATTTCACGTGCCCCAGCAACCCTCTCGCCCGGCCTCACAGTACACTCACCTACTACTTTCACACAGGAGGAACACTCCAGGTTGTTGGCATTTTCCACAGTCACGGTGTATGTTCCAGCATCATAATCGTCTGCATCGTTGATGGTCAGGGCCCGCATCAGGCCAATGACACCAGGCACAATCTTGCCAGGCTTCTCCACCACGATCTTGCCATCCTTCCTCCACACCACATCTCGCTCTTTGTTCAGCTCGCAACTCAGGTACAGCGGCTGCCCCTTGACCACCGTGACTTCCTCTTCTAGTGTTTTCACGAAACGAACAGGAAGTTCTGTGGAGAATGCCAACCAAACACATTTAAAGTTTCCAGTGGAAAGAAAACTCGGAGGTTTTGTCTGAAATCACAATGAATGGAACCACTGAGGTCTCTGCTGTAAAATTTAATCACAGATCATGCGCAGAACTAAGAGTTACCTTCTACGATGAGCTTGGCTGTGGAGGTCTTTTCTTTGTTTCCCAGTCGTAGCACACAGGTGTATTCGCCGGCATCGGAGAGCTGGACGTCGATGATGTGCAGCTTCCTGTCTTTACCATCCGCGATGAACCTGTGCTTTGGGCTCTCACGGATGTTGCTACCATCCTTCATCCAGGTGGTGATGGCAGTGGATGGGGAGACCAAGCATTCAAAGATGGCGGAAGAGCCCACAGACTCTGCCTCTGTCAGGACGATGTCTTTGATCTCTTTCACGAATTTCAGTGGCACAGCCTTTAGCTGGTAGGTGAATGGAGCTTCATCGGGAGGTTTCTCCCCACCACTTCCTGGTCTGAGCTTTTTCCTTTCCGCCTCTATGGGTGAAGGAGTCTTTTTGGCAACACCTAGTTCAAAGGCAAAGTGGAAAGTTAACTAGGTGCCTCCATAGGCATCACAGCGTGGACGTAAAGTGATGAGAAGACAGGAACAGAGAAGTAAAGACTTGACAGTTGGAAGGTCAGACATGAAGATGAAAAGGCCCAAGAACTAATGGGCACCCTTTATTTTCTCACGTGTCAGTTCTGGGTGTAAAATATTCAGGTTAATGTATAATTACTTCACTCGTTATAAATAAATATTTATGGATGAAAAATCAAGATACAAATTCATCATGGTAAAATTTATTTGGTTTTATTTATAACAGTTACTTGAATAATACTAGTAGCAATGTCAGAAATGAAGACTATAAAATTTGAAAACATTTCCCCTCAAGTGTAAGCCTTGGAACTCATAAGGCAACCAACATGTGACCACAGGTCTGAGGAGCATGGAACTCACCTTTGATGGGACCTTTCGGCTTGGCTGCTTCATCCTTAGGTTTGGCTTCTGAAATAAAAAAGATAAGCATTTGTGCAATTTTCATACTTATTCCACCCTTATCAGGAAACCATGTGGGGTGAGTCATGTTCTTTGTTACATATATATTAATATGTAAAGAGGAACCCGTTTCACTTAAATGACTTCTACAGAGAATACGCTGGTATTTCTAAGAAGGCATATTCTAAAATCAATGTAGCCAGGCTAAAATATCAAGTTTAGGATTAAAAACATTCTTTTAGAGGTTCAAGTCAAGAGTCTGTTAGCATGTACAGGCCTGGAGCCCAACAATTATAATGAATTAATTAGTAAAAATTAAAATTTGACAAGTGTCATTACTCTCTTGCCATATGTGGAGGGCTCACTACTGATCTATGAGAAAGGGTTTTGCCCTTGCTTAGTTATACAAACTGCTTTACAAGATATTTTATATGTTGGGCATATAAATCAAAGAAATTAAAGTTTTTCCCCCATAAGTGACAGGAAAGTGGCCGGAAATGACCAAAAGTCCTTTTGTTGTTATTGGTGGTGTATAAATTGAGCAGACTAATACATCCAGAGAAGATGAAGGGAGAGTCAGTATCTTTTCTAAATAATGTTTGAATCATAAATACAGGTGATTAAATATAGCATAAATATTAATAATTAAACTATATTTAAATGAGCACCCTATATTTTTCCCACCATTAAACACAACCAAAACCCAAATGATTGTGGGTAACTTAAAATGTTAAAGCAACTTAGCGACTTGTCACAGATGAGCCACTTTGGATGTGTACAATGACAGCAATCTCACATCCACTTAGGTTTATTTTTAAAACTAACACCTGATAACAAAATACTGGAGTTCAAATATTAGTAGTAAGTATCTTAAGGTTGGACTTCAGATGGCTACGCTGTTTAATACATTTAAAAATTGCTAATTTAAATCCATGTATAGATATAAAGGCTGAACCGTCTATAGCCCCTTTCTCTCCTTTTTCTGTAATACTGTGGTAAATATGTCTCACATAAAAACATAAAAATTTCCATTATGCAACCATTTTTATGAAACACAATCACAAAGTTGTGAAACTATCAGTATTTATTTGTTAAACTTGCACTAGCTCAATAGTTCAGTGTTTTTTAAAATGAGGAATGTTTGCTATCGGGCACAAGGGTGTGATTTGGGAAAAGATTATGAGAGAAAGAACAGCTGCAGGGCTGCACATATCATAAAACAATATGCGTTCACAGGGTAACACAGTATTCGGTGGGGTCTATGAGGTGAAGAAAACCCAAGAGTTTGCTACACACCCCTGAACTGGACAGGATGTTCCAACTCTAATCCAGTGTGAAGCCACCCACACAAGCTAGTGAAAATAGAACCACAGGATACCAACCTGCTTTCTTTCCGACCACGGGTGCGGTCACCGGGGCAGCGATGGGCGTGGGTGCGGGCTCCATCGGCGGCGCCTTCATGGTTTTCACCTCTGTGGAGAGAAGACCCCACTGTATCAATGCGTCTGCAGCAACCACTTTTGGTGGCCTGTTTGCCTTTCAGGATGCGATGTCAAACCCTCCAGATAGCTAGTTTCTCTGAGAGCACTATCTAAACATATTGAGATATCAGAAATCATTGAAGCACAGTGATTTTTTTATATTTTTATTTAATATGTAACAGTTTTAATCTAAAAATATAAATTTCTTTTACATTTTTTCCCCATTCGCTACATGTTATTCTAGCGGAGTTTGAAGGAACACTCACCCCGAGGATAAGGTTGCTTACCTGGCTCAGGCTTTGGCTTTGCTTCAGGTCCAGGGAGAGGTATTGCTGGCTTAATTTCAGGAACTGAAATAATTCACAGAAATAACCAGGTTATCATAATACTTTACAAGTTTTTCCACAAAGTCAAAACTGCAAGGAAGCAAATTTAGTGTACAGAAGGATACTAGGATCTGTTTATCAAACTTTTATACATATATGCTTATCAAATCAAATATATGAGCTAAACATTTTTCATGTTCAACAAAATATTAAAAAATCTATTGTATTTGAAGTTATTATTCAGCTCATTACTCATCCCTAGAAATGCATTTAACAAGCCGTGATGATTATTAGCATTGCACAGAAAAGGTGAAGAAAACAGGACACACGTGATGATGGTCACAATGTCAGTATAACGATACTGTGATGCTGCGTGGGTGCATTCTTAGAGACAACAAAGAACATGTCTGGAGAATTATACCTTTGGCAGGTTCTGGAACTTTCCTTTCCTTTGGTGTAGGCTCTGGAGGAGCTTCAACTTCTTCGACAGCTTTTGGAGGGGGTGGGGGTACTTTAAGGAAAGGAGGCATTGTCAAGCTTTAATGTAGAAAGCAAGTTACCTGAAAACTCAGACTGAACAATTATTTCTCAAAAATGGTAGTGATGACTCTTTTATACAAATCAGATTTTAAAGATCAATTTCTGCTTTCTTCTCATAACTCTGCCCCCCCCCTCTTTCTTTCTCTTTCTCTCTCCCTTCCTCTTATTCCATCTGCTTGGTCCCAACTTCTGATATATCCCCACATCTAAACCGGTTCCACCAAAGTCTAATAATCATCCCCTTTGACAATAGGCAGATGATAGACATCACTCCACCTAAGAGTTTCCAGATTTAGGAAGCATTGAGAACACTCCCATGAATTTATTCCATAGCCAATGAGATGATCTCAGCCATTGCCATGAGGAGAACTTACGTGGCAAAGTAATAACAACAAGATCAGTAGTAATTATGATAATGAAGTATCTGGAAATTATTAATAAGACTAATAGGAATAAATGCTATACCAAAGAGTGTTTGTACTTGAAAATTACCGTAAGATATTGAAACAGAAAGCAGACAATGGAACATATACATTACAGACAGATGAAATATGAAGCCATGATTATGTTGAACTTCATGGATGTTTACAAAATAAACCTTTTGTTATGTCCACTTTGTTGAAAGAGAATTTCATAAATTGCTATTTATGAAAATGATTCCTACCTTCTGGTTTTTTAACTTTTTCTACTTTTTTAGGCTCTACTTTAGGTTCTTCTTCTTCGGGTCTCTTTCTTAGAACTTAAAAGACAAAAAGGTTTATATGTAAACCGAGATGAGCTAATGACCATGTTGAGCAAGCACGATGAGCACAGATAATGTACAGAGCAAAGACAATGAAAAGCATGCAAGCTAGCACAGTGGGAGATTAGCATTTGTGTGAAAAACGCTTTTATAGCCCAAATTCCCCAAAACAAAGTTTGTTATGCCAACTCACATCAGGCTTAGAAATAATGTCTCTCTAGACACTATGCCCAGTGACAACTATGTGGCAAAATGGCTCAGATATAAATAATTATTTGAATAGCAAAAATTATAAAAATTAAACATAATTTATTGATTACTGCTTAAATAAAAATTAGTTTTAAGTTCAGAAATCTAAAGTGGCGTAACTTCGAGATCAGTAATCCCATACAAAGACAAGGTTAGAATTTGATCTTTCATGAGTATCTTGCATCTAGTTTATTACATACTTAGTAAGAAAAAGATGTTTAGTTTTATAAAAGGTGTTATTGGTTGTGGTGATCTTGCATCATACTGAAATTGAACACATTAGGCTTAAGTAGTTCTGTGTATAGGATCTTACAAGTTGAGTGTATTTTATTTCACAATTTGGTTATGAAAACTGACACTGTGGTCACCGTTGTTAGGATATTATCAGTTTAGTTATACCTGTTTAGTTACAATGTCAAAATACTATGAATGCTCACAAAATATCCACCTTCTCCTTACAAAGACTTGGAAATGATAACCTTTATTTTTTTTTAATGGAACTACATTCAAATTTTGCTGGAGGATCTAAAATGAAATGAAGGGGCAGAGTATTTTGTGAGCCTTCAGGTGAGCCCATTTCTCAAGCTGTGGAGACTGACATTGCAGGAGAGAACTACTATACCGCTTTTCAGGACCACCTCCTCCTTTGGCTGGGGCTTAGGTTCTGGAAGTAATTTGCGAACTTTCTTTTCGGCTGTAGGCACTTAAAAGGATATGATTTCAAATTTGGTGTGAATTCACATAAAAATGCAATTTCATCAAGAAAAAAAAAACGACTCTGCTCAAACCAGTTGACTTGAGTGTGTCAAGGAACAATTTCTGTCTATATAAATTTACAGAATTTAACAGCAAGTGATAGACTTGATGTTCTTGGTTCCATAAACATCTACATAATCTTATGAAAGTTCAGTCACACCGGCTGCACATCTATCCAATAGAATCTCTTGGTCTACAATGGCTTTATGAATCTTTCATCAAAATGCAAGGATTCTCCTCAGCATCTTTGCTTCAGGCTGTAGTTGTTTTAATTGCCCACGCCCACATTGGTGTTCCCCTGTCCAACATATACACCACACGATGCAGGCAGGAGTTACGGCCATTGCATCATCTTTTCCATTGAGGGGAAAACAAAGCCAAAGTATGTGCTGTGAGCCTTGATCCCGAAGAAAGATTGCATTTCACGTTCTGAACAAAAGCAGATTTCCGCAAGTTCTCCTTTAAAATAAAACTAAAATTACAGGACTGTCTCGTTTCAAAGCTAGTGGTAGAAGCTAAACTATTCGCAAATAAGACAATTTTTTGAATGTAATTAAAAATGGGCAAGGAATTATAAATGTCTTTGTGCTTCTACAGTGGCCACGAGGCATAGGGACAATGCTATTCTGGGGAGCAGACATCACTGCTGTTATATTGCATGGATTCAAACACAAAGACAAAACCAAAACAGACCTCAGTGAGCAGCGAACCACTTTGAAGCTATTCCTTTTGGTGTGCAGTTTTGTTCGATCAACATAAATTTGGGTTTCTTAGAGATTTCTATAAGATTTCCTGTTTGGTGCTCTTCAGCCTTTCATTGATTTTCTTTTCAATCGGATAAAGATCATCTTGCTTAAATCTTACTTCAAAATTTGTAACATATTTCATTCAAAATAATCACATTTGAAATGCCAAATGTTTGAAGTAAAATTTTCAGCTGAACCTTAAAAATTTTAACTATGATAAATTATACTGACCTCAATTACTATTTATAAATTAACAGTATTTTTAATACAAAACTATTTTCATTGATTGAAACTATATAATAATGGAAGTTGAAGTGGCAAAAATGTACATTTATTTATGCAATACATATAATGAAAGTATATTAATGCATTTGTTTTTCCATATTTTTAGTTTAGTTTTAAGATATTTATGTTTAAGACTCATCCCTTATTGTGGCTATTGTTTTTTTTAAAGAAACCATATGCGATTACATACTAATTTAAGCTTTATTAATTTATAAATTTAATAATTTAATTTACCAAAATTATTTAGATTATTCTAAAATTTCAGCATGACCAAGAACAGATTTGATTCCTGGGTTAGGATGTGTTGGTTACTAGAACTCTGATACCCACCAACTTATTAGAAATATTCTTTATTTTTAGTTGATATTTTTAGATTTGTAAACTTTTCTTATTTTTCTTTATGAGTTAAATAGACAGGAATTGGTATCTCCCTAAAACTCTGTGTGACTGGGAGAATATGGCTCAAGCTAGCAAGAAGAAAGGGGGTGCAAATGAAGGGCAATGGACATCCCTAGGGATTGCCCAACCGTGACAGGGCAATGTGTTGATAGGACACATTAAAATGCTGATGTCCAGGCGACTCCCAGCCAAAGCTCATTACTACTACGCAGCATTTTAACCCAAGATGTCTCCTGACATCGATTTCTTCTAACCAGTAGAGTTTGGTATTATTTGACTTAAAAATGCAAGTAGACATATGGAAATGTAAGGCACAGATAAGCGATTGCATCCATGTGATGTATGAAATTGATGGGAGACACAGGAAGCACTCATGAGCCAGACCCATGGAAGCCACAGAAGTACAAGAAATGAATGAGACTATTCTACTTCTCTGATCACCAAGAAAGAGAGGGGGTTGGAAGAACTCTATGGCAGCACCCAGAGAGCGTGGAGTTGGATGGAGAGTTGGCCTTGTATGTGGTTGGGCTAGCCTGTGAGATACCTTTTAGGGGTGCAGGCTCCACTTTTTCCACAACCTCAGGTTTTTCAGGAACTTTCTTCTTTGAAACAGCTTTAAAGAATTTTAAAGAATATACTTTCATTATTTGTATACTTAATCCAAAACAAATTATTTTTTAACTTCAAGAATCAAAGCCAAGCATCTCTTAGAACCAGAAAGCATTAATAACAGCCAAGAATAAGTCACCAGAGAACATTCAGAACGAAGCCGGAAGCCAGGAAAACATGCAGCTTTGCTTCATGGTTGTGTTGTGCATGACGACTGGTCAAGAAAGAAGAGACTTTCTAGTCTTCATAGGAGGGATGTTCTACACCAAGGGGATATTCAAGTGTGAGTCCCCACCACCCATTATTCAACAGATGGGTCACAATCAGAGCCTGTTTCTCTGCCTGTCACCTGAAACCCAAGAAGGTTTGAGCGGGGGCAAGAATCACTAAAAGTATGGAAGATTCTAGCTCTAGGCCTGTATAAATACATATGGGAAAATTCCTCATATAAGATTATACCTGAACATTTCAGATTAGGAAACATAACACTGCAAATAAGATAGCTTTAAAAGATGCAAATAAAAAGAATAAAGCCATAGCATGTATGTAAAACATATGATCGGGAAATGTACTTATGAGATTCAAGATATTAAATAATATTCTATTGCTTTAAAGAAAAATAAAACAGAAAGAATGAAAGAATGAAGTAAGTTTGATAATGAGGAGCTAGATACCAAGTGTATTAAGAACCACATTTTCCAGCTATGCAGAGAACAATAAAGACCACAACTGGGTTTCCATTAGGCAAAAATAAATAAATAAATAAATAAATAATAAATGGAAAAGCCCCAGTGATGAATTGTTCATATACATTTTTCATGGTAAGTGAACACCAGCTATTGAATACCACAAATATGCTATGAACATGCTGTTATTTAAGAACAAAGTTTTGACTTCTACATAGATTTAATCACTGCAATTTTAATATCTTTCAAAGACTTTTAGACATTCCACATGCTTACAACCAAGACAGGCATAGCAATCAGCCTTTCCAACCAAAAGACCTTCCTCCCCTTCCCACAAGGAAAAGTTAGCTGAGTAGCCTCTGCACTCAGATGGCAAGGATGTTGCTCACTAAATTGTCTCACAAGCAGCAGGCATGGCTGTACGTCATACCCCAGGATACCTGGGATAGCAGAAACATCCATCCCTATGCAACTCCCACAGCACGGCCATGTCTGAACATATGCACTCCCAGGAGCAATGCAGTTCTTGAAAGCAATATTTTCATAGGCCGAACAGAAGTTGGAAGCAGGTTAATAAGTCATTGGAAGCAGCATTTGTACCTTTAAGTTGGAACAGTTTCTCCTTCACGTCTTCCTTAGGTGGAGAAGGAGCACGCACTGGGGGTCTTGGCTTGAGTTTTGGTTTCTCAATAACCTTCTTTTCAGGCTCAGGTTCTTAAGAGAGTATTGCAGGAGTGTTAGTGCATGCAAATATTAATTAGGTGTGTGTATATACACTATATGCGATGGAAATTTAAATATGTGCGAAGCAAAAGTTTATTTAGATATGCGTTATCAGTGCCCGAACATAAAACATAAAGTATCAACACTGTACACACAGTGATGTGTTACATAATAATGACGTTAAACAGCCAAAGAGCGAGCCACATAACATTACACAGAGCATAAATACAGGACCGCTTAAGAACAGATGTACACACGAGATTTTTTTACATAGAGATGGAAAGACCTGCTATACATACAGGACAACACAAACCAATTAGAGGTCAAGATGAAGAGTGTGCTAATGAAGATTTAAGTCCGCTAACTGGATACCTGGCACTGAGGTTTCTTCTGGCTCTGGTTCAAGTTCAGGTTCAGGTTCAGGTTCTTCAGGTTGAATAAACTTTTCAATTTCGCGTTCTTTAAAGAGTGTCAACAAAGGGCATAAGATTGTAACATAAAAGTGTTCACGCAGACGCACAACAATTTCACATAGATGCAAAGAGTCACCAAACATAAACATACCACCCATACAAGGTGGTTGCCAGAGAAGAGGGTGATTTCCATTTTCTTTTTCTATTTGTGCTGTTGGGTGTTGAGCGCAGGGGCTGTCCCTTTCCTTTCCTTTCTTTCCCTTCCCTTTTCTTTCTTCTCTTTTTCTTTCCTTTTTTCTTCCTCTTAGTTTTTTTTTAAGCCAGGTCTTACTACATAGACCAAGATAACCTCACACTTACAGAGATTCACCTGTCTCTGCCTTTTGAAAGCAGGCATTAAAGGCCGGGGCCACCATGCCTGGCCAAGCATAAGGTTTTACTTATTGCTCTTACCACTGAGCTACATCCTGGCCTCCAGATGTTAATTTTCTTATACTGGAACTATCTATTACTATGTTGATGAAAATTTTCTTACATTTGAACTGTCTATTACTATGTCGACAGGAACTGAGCTGACTTGAAACCCACTACTGGCAATCCCTTGAGGATCCAATGTAACTAACTAATGGAATCTGCATCAGTAAACTGTACTTTTCAGAACAGCTAACCATCACCGAGATTAAGCAAATGAAAGGCTCTAATTCAAAATAAGCGTAATTGTTTGGAAAAAGAAAGTAGCCAAACACGTGCAGCGATGTTCCTATATATAATTTAAGGAGAAATGTTACCCTACAAAGACCTTTGCATCATTAAAGTTCCAGGGAACAGACATCTATGTATGTGTATACCTTCAACAGGGGGCGTCTCTTTTCTACCAATGGTAATGGTTTCTTTCTCTTCATAGATTGTCTCCTCAGGGGTCTCTTCAACTTAAAAACAGTATAGCATATTAGGCTGTATTCAGAGTAGACACTGCAGCTGCTAAGTTACATCCAACCACACTTAATTCAACTATCTCAAGACACCCACAGGGTCAACACGTGAGACAGACATCACAGATACATAAGATCCACCAATGAAGCCTGT